GGTGGCATGTGAACATGGTTAAAAAGGCACAAAAAAAACAGCTCCAGAGCTTCACACTAATAATGACAACTAATTAGCCAACTGGGTACAATACTAATGGACACCGTTGTTCCAGAGACCGCTACATTCTAGGGTCAAGAATGTAAATTCCATTCTAGGTTGGAATGTAGCTTTGTCATGGAACGCTTGGTGACAATATTTAGGACAATTTGCCGTACTATGCATGTCTGTGGCTCTGGCCAGCTGACCCATTCTCCCAAAGCGAAGTGTGATTGAGAAAACAAAGAAAAAATTGAAAGCGGCTCTTACTACACAAAACATCTTTGATTTAATCTTTACAAGGGGTCTGAAAGTGCGGAGTCCCTTTGATATCTATTGGGTGTACTATCCCGTTACGACAAAAATAAAAATCTTAATTTACGTTCAACTGAGTAAGGCACTTTTCTTGAAGAGGTGCAGGGAGAGGAACTGTGTGACAGTCTGCGGGCAAAAAAAATAAAAGGCAACAACCTGAATATTTGTATCAGTTGCTGTGGGTACTGGCGATGTCCTGTGACAAATACTATCTCACTGCAAGATGGTGTTTCTACGGTATGCAGCCATTTAAAATCAGTTTTAAAAAACACACTGGACTATGGCAAAAGGAGAAATAACAGGGAAGTAACACTCAGAATCCTGGATTGATTCACAAATACTTATCAGTTGCCACAGCATACTGGGAAACTGTGAATGCAGCCAAGGCAAAACTAGATTTGTACTTCTGACTTGCCATAGTTCGGGGGTCTTTGGGATGTAGCCTAATGCCATTGGGTGACTGCAGATTAATCTTTTAAAAGGCATGCTTAAAGTGATCAAGAAAAACATTAAATCAGAGACAATGAAAGCCAAGGAAAGACGCATGTGCACTTTTAAATGACATTGAGTGTGTTCATACAAAACAACAAGGTGATAATTTTTTTCATCATTTGGAAAATATTGAGCTAAGAGTTCTCATAAACATTCATAAATTTTTGGCAGCAATACGAAAACAATAAGGCAAAAAGTACAAAGCAAAGCTTTGTCAGTGCAACGCTCCATTTTCCATGCCAAGACTGAGGACTTTGGCTTTAATGCACATTGTTTAGGCATACTCTCCACTAGCATACTGTTTGACAAATTCATCAAGTGGTTATTTTTCTTTTAAAGTGTCTGAAGCCTACTTCAAAATAAAATATTACAATTCCAAGCGTTGGACATGCAATCATGCAAAAAATCATATTTAAACAAAAACAAAACTGAGTATTGACACTGACAAGCCACTGCAAGCGAAAGGTATTGATAAAACTAAAAAAAACAAATCCTTCATCTTGCCTTTACACGAGTTCAAGTGGAAACCTTGAAGGTAGATCAACTGAAGGACATGAAAGGTCTATGTACAAGAGGGAACAACATCACACTGTTAGCAGGAAGCTAATCAAAGAACTAGACATAACATACGAGCACTAAACTTGGGAAACCTACAGTGCCTTGAGAAAGTATTCAAACCCCTGGACTTTTCTCACATTTTGTTGTGTTACAAAGTGGGATTAAAATGGATTTGTCTTTTTTTTGCCAACAATCTACACAAAATACTTTTTAATGTCAAAGCGATTGGATTGTGCAATATTTGCACATTATTCTTTAAAACATTTTTACAAGCTCTGTCAAGTTGGTTGTTGATCATTACTAGACAGTCATTTTCAAGTCTTGCAATATATTTTTTTGTTGTTGCAGATTTAAGTCAAAACTAACTAGGCCACTCAGGAACATTCAATATTGTCTTGGTAAGCAACTCCAGTGTATATTTGGCCTTGTGTTTTAGGCAATGGTCCTGCTGAAAGGTGAATTTGTCTCCCAGTGTCTGTTGGAAAGCAGACTGAATCAAGTTTCTCTCTAGGATTTAGCTTGTGCTTAGCTTTATTCCGATCCTAAAAAACTCCTTAGTCCTTGCCGATGACAAGCATACCCATAGCATGATGCAGCCACCACCATGCTTGAAATTATGAAGAGTGGTACTCAGTGATGTGTTGGAGTTGCCCCAAACATAACGCTTTGTATTCAGAACAAAAGGTACATTTTTACCACATTATTGCAAACAGCATGTATTTTTTGTTGTTGTTGTACAGGCTTCCTTTTCACTCATATATGTTAGCATTGTGGAGTGACTACAATGTTGTTGATACATCCTCAGTTCTCTCCTATTACAGCCATTAAACTATAACCGTTTTAAAATCGCCATTGGCCTCATGGTGAAATCCCTGAGTGGTTTCCTTCCTCTCCAGCAACTGAGTTAGGAAGGGCACCTGTATCTTTGTAGTGACTGGGTGTATTGATACACCATCCAAATTGTAATTAATAACTGCACCATGCTCAAAGGAATATTCAAATATCATTATTGTATTTCATTTCCCATCTACCAATAGGTGCAGTTCTTTGCGAACCATTGGAAAAACTCTGGTCTTTGTGGTTGAATCTGTGCTTGAAATTAACTGCTCGAACAAGGGACCTTACAGATAACTGTATGTGTGGGGTACAGAGATGGGGTAGTCATTTAAAATCATGTTAAAACACTATTATTGCACACAGAGTGAGTCCATGTAACTTACATGACTTGTTAAGCATATTTTTACTCCTGAACATATTTAGGCTTGCCATAACAAAAGGGGTTGAATACCTTTTGACTCAAGACATTTCAGCTTTTCATTTTAAATTAATTTCTAAACATTTCTAAAAACATAATTCCACTTTGACATTTTGGGTAGTGTGTGTAGATCAGTGATACAACATTTCAATGTAATCCATTTTAGGCTGTAACACAACACAATGTGGAAAAAGTCAAGGGGTGTCAATACTTTCTGAAGGAACTTTTTTTTACAGTTCAACACCCATCTCCTCTCCTCTCCTTGGCACTGCACTTTAAAAAAAAGTTGAGAGCTCGCTGAAGATGCCGCTCAATAGGAGAAAACTCCCAAAATGAAAAGGACGACGTCTCAACACTAAAACTCAATTTTAAGTTCAGGGACCAGGTACTAGTTAATTATTTGATCATTTTAAAACTATTTGTCCAATTTATGCATGACTCCGGAAATAAATGAATTTACTAAGAAACACAGGCTATAAGGATGTGCCTGTCCAATAGGAGGGGAAACTAGCACTAGGGAGCTTTGGGGAACATTTAAAACTTCTGCCTGCAAAGGTGACATTTCTCAACCAATGCCATTATAATCAATTGATACCTAATAGGTCTTCATCCATCAAAGACGATGATGAGCAACTACTGTATCGGTCTACTCTTCAATAATAAAAGGCTATTCAGTCCAGCTGGGATACTAGGGTTCTGCTGTTCAGGGTTGGGCTCAATTCCATTGCAATTATTCAGCCAGTTCAGGAAGTCAACTGAAATTGAAATCATTCCCAATCATCTTCTATGAGGAAAATGTTGGAATTTCAGTTAACTACTTGGTTTGGGTGAATTAAAATGGAATTGAGCACAACCCTGGTTCTGTTGTCTCTGCTCATCACCAATATCAGCACCGCATTACCGCTCCTGTACTGTCACCAGACTGCTTTTACTTCACAACAACGACACTCAGGCCTCAGCCAGGAGGAAGAGGAGCAGCATCATGATTCTCACTCATCCCCTCTAAGGACACAGACATTTAACATTAAAGGCACTTTGCTGCAATCACTGTCCGCGTCAAGAAGGTACAGGATGTCTTGTGTTAATCTCTCTCCATTCAACGCTTTAATTCATATTTAGACTTATTTAATCATTCTCATATATTTACTACAATCTTTTATCTGTAGAACACTTCGACCATGTCCCAAAGACTTAGCTCATTGTGATTTTCTTCCTGTTAAGGGAAGGTGGGGGTAGGTGGAGGTCAAGGGGTCATCTCAAGTCTACTGATCTGACTCTTCACTGTGATCTGTTTGGCTGAAGCCGGTAAAGAGGGGTTTGTAGAAATGGGAGTTGATTTTAGTTTATTGCATTGAGCTGCTCTTGGCAGCGTGTGGCGTGCACTGCGTCTTAACACCAAGAGCCTTCCTCATCTTCCACTTAAGATGGAGCATCTTCATAAATAATATTTTAACTTGAACTTACAGAATGGAGTATTGCTTCTAGTTCTCCTTTTGTTTTGACTTTCTCAGGTACCCCTACCATCAGATGATTATAACCCATTTATATAGGTGTGAAAAACCCTGCCCAGATCTGTCCCATGACAAACAAGAATAAAAGCAATGCTGCATCATCCAGTCATCAATTTCTGAAAAATTAAACGGAGGGGACCTCAGTGTTTCCGAAGCGTTACCAAGGTGCATGTATGCAACAAGCTAATACTCAAAAGCCATGGCAGCCCCACTATACTCCAACAGAACAGAAACTGCATGAGGGGGGGAGAGAGAGGGGAGAGCAGGGTGGGGAGACGAGAGAGGGGAGTAAGAGAGGAAAGAGAGGGGAGTGGGGAAGAGAGCGGGGTAACAGTGATGTAATCGTCTGTGCAGATGGCTGGAATGCCACTGCTCTAGAGTTCACTTCAGCTGCACCAGGGGGTGAGAAATGCATAGCGTACTACACAGTAAAATATGTGGCGCATGTGTGGGTGTACCACAGGAGGTTGGTGGCAGCTTAAAATTGTGAGGACGGGCTCGTGGTAATAGCTGAAACGGAATCAGTGGAATGGTATCAAATACATGGTTTCCATTTGTGCCGTTCCATACATTATTATGAGCCGTCCTCCCCTCAGCAGCCTCCTGTTGTGTGTATAGTTTACAGCCCATGTGTGCATTCAGGCTACAGGCCTAAACCACAGGTTGCTAGCACAATGGCATGAGGAGTGAGGATTGTGGGAGAAACACTGTTTGACAGAATCACAATGGCAAGGGGTTAGGGGGTTGATATTAGGAGGTTCCAGTTGGCCCGGGGGGGGGGGGGGGGGGGCAGAGTAGGTGTTGTGGTTGGAGGGGGTGGTGTGGGTCCTTCAGAGGGTGTGGTAGTTGCGGTCCTTGGACTTGCAGAACTTGTAGAGGAAGAAGAGCACGGCCTGCAGGCCCAGGACCAGCACGATGCCCCCAATGAAGCTTGCTGCGTCAAACGTTGAATTCTTATGAGGTGCAGGAGAGGGCCCCACTGGTGAGACGGTGCCGTCTGCACGGGGTGGGAGCGAGAGAGCCATGTCATACCACTGATTCAGCCACTAGCCTCTAGGGCTAAGTGGAACCACAAACATATTGATAATACACTGGTGGAATTTAGTTTTGATTCAGTAATCCTTTCTATGGAATCTTGGTGATCTACAACAGGCTATAAATGGTCTAGATCAGGGCTCTCCAACCCGGTTCCTGGAGAGCTACTGTCCTGTAGTTTTTCACTCCACCCCTAATCTAGTACACCGGATTTTAATAATGAGCTGGTTGATAAGCTGAATCAGGCTAGTTACAACCTACAGGAGGGTAGCTCTCCAGGAACAGGGTTGGACAGTCCTGGTCTAGGTATTTGATTTCAGACTGGGCTGGCATGGGAACTTACTTGAAGCAGTCGTTGAGGCAGAGACTGTGACGGTGCTGTTAGTGGGCAAGGCGGTTGGTCCTGCAGTCGTCAGGTTAGCTGGACACAGTGAGATATCAGTTTAATACCATTTCACCACTTACAAAAACAGTTGACCATTTCACCTTATTTAGGTTTGACATACAAAAACTCAGAATCATCAAGCCTTCCAGTAGACACACATTGATTTGAGGGGAGCAGCTGAGAGGCTGGTTTTGTCTGGTTACCTGTGGTGGGCTCAGGGGTGCTGCTGTTAGTTGTGTTGCTGACCATAGGGGTGAGGGTAGGGATAGCAGCCGTGGTGGGGGTAGGGGGTTTGGTTGGACTTGGACTAAAAGGCTGCACTGAAGAGACCGACACAGTAACAGAGACAGAGACAGACAGAGTATAAAGCAGGGCTGTGACGATTTCAGTATTGCAATATTATTTTTAAAAGGAAAAAATGAAAACACGAAGCAGATCTAACGCTATGATTCTGCTGTACATAAAATATTGTGCGCTATAGCTTAGAAAATAAACATGACACTGGATGAGAACATAATTATGTTTGTTATTTATTATTATTATTTGTTTCAAACATTAGGGCTATTTTCCTAAAGAAGTTAAATCCGCTTTGTGTTTTGTTTCCTTGCCACGATACTAATGAGTATCGCGATACTGGTATGGTCCCGGGCCTAGTATAAAGCAGGAAAGAAAGAGACATAACAACCAGGCTACGTCTGGACAGTCCTAAAATGATTCCTTGCATTCCTCTCCTGCCTTCCATTTTGATCTGACAGGATTTGGTAGGTGAATGTAATAGCGTGAATTCATTCAAATAGCTTTCACCCATCTAATCCTTTTGGACCAGTGGAATGATGAGGGAGGGGAGGAAGGAGCCAAGGGATGGAGGAAGGCAGGGACAAAGGAATTAGGAAAGGAGGGAAGCATTTCAGAGTATTGAGGGAAAGCAAATGACACCACAGAACATAGATATAGAATGTCTACATGTGCCTAGATCAGCCACTTTCTGTTGAAGGCTAGTCCTGTGTCATGTTAACACAGTGACAGTCACAGGAATGACAAACCACATTTAATCCCTCTGGAGTAGCCTTTAAAAGGAACCAGGTGATGGTATTGGTCCTTACCTGAGCAGGTTTCATTGGAGCAGGTGCCCACGGTCATGTTCTGACCATATATGGATGTGACGTTGACACAGGAGACATTGGACACATCTGGAGTTGCTGTAACTGAACAAAGGGGATACAAGGAACAAACAAGCACCAATGAAAGATGTGATTGTCAGTGCTCTACTGGAAAACTACAAAGCCAAGAAAATGTGTTGAAGTGATAGTTTTCTAACGATTCCCTATATTAATCCTGACACCGTAGGGAACATGAGCCATTTAAGAACACAATGATTATCTTTGTTTTCAGTCAAATGGGATTGGCTTGTCAGCTAAGGAGAGTTCTCTCAGTCATCCTTCCTGGAAATTCCTAAGTCATAGCCAGCCCCGTCCCCCACTGCATGATCTTTCCCATTACTGATTAATCCAAGGGTGCGTGTGTGTGGTCCTCTGTAGCTCAATTGGTAGAGCATGGCGCTTGTAACACCAGGGTAGTGGGTTTGATCCCCGGGACCACCCATACGTAAAAATGTATGCACACATGACCATGTCGCTTTGGATAAAAGCGTCTGCTAAATGGCATATTATTATACACAGTACCAGTCAAGAGTTTGGACACACCTACTCATTCAAAGGATTTTCTTTACTTTTTACTATTTTCTACATTGTAGAATAATAGTGAAGACATCAAAACAATGAAATAACACCAAAAAAAGTGTTCAACAAATCAAAATATATTTTAGATTCTTCAAAGTAGCCACCCTTTGCCTTGATGGCAGCTTTGCACACTCTTGGCATTCTCTCAACCAGCTTCATGCGGAATGCTTTCCCAACAGTTTAGAAGGAGTTCCCACATATGCTGAGCACTTGTTGGCTGCTTTTCCTTCACTCTGCGTTCCAACTCATCCCAAACCATCTCAATTGGGTTGAGGTTGGGGGATTGTGGAGGCCAGGTCATCTGATGCAGCACTCCATCACTCTCTGTCTTGGTCAAAAAACCCTTACACAGCCTGGAGGTGTGTTTTGGGTCATTGTCCTGTTGAAAAACAAATGATAGTCCCACTAATCCCAAACCAGATGAGATGGCATATCGCTGCAGAATGCGGTGGTAGCCATGCTGGTTAAGTGTGCCTTGAATTGGGATGAGTTGGACCGCAGAGTGAAGGAAAAGCAGCAACAAGTGCTCAGCATATGTGGGAACTCCTTCAAGACTGTTGGAAAAGCATTCCAGGTGAAGCTGTATGAGAGAATGCCAAGAGTGTGCAAAGCTATTTCTATTCTACAAAATAGTAAAAAAATAAAATAAAATAAAAACTTGAATGAGTAGGTGTGTCCAAACTTTTGACTGGTACTAATATATATATTTACAGACCTCTACATGCTTTGTAAGTAGGAAAACCTGCAAAATCGGCAGTGTATCAAATACTTGTTCTCCCCCACTGTGTGTGTGTGTGTGTATATATATATATATATATATATATATATATATATATATATATATATATATATATATGCTTTTCTGATGTATCAAATACTTATGTCATGCAATAAAATGCAAATTAATTACTTAAAAATGTGATTTTTGTTTTAGATTCCGTCTCTCACAGTTGAAGTGTACCTATGATACAAATTACAGACCTCTACATGCTTTGTAAGTAGGAAAACCTGCAAAATCTGCAGTGTATCAAATACTTGTTCTCCCCACTGTATGTGTATGTATATATATATAGCATTCCGAAAGTATTCAGAACCCTTCCCTTTTCCACATTTTGTTACGTTACAGCCTTATTCTAAAATGGATTACATTTAATTTTTTACTCAGCAATCTACACACAATTCCACATAAGGTTTTTAGAAATCTTGGTTTCATCAGACCAGTCCTTTAGGTGCCTTTTGGCAAACTCCAAGCAGGCTGTCATGTGCCTTTTACTGAGGAGTGGCTTCCGTCTAGCCACTCTACCATAAAGGCCTGATTGGTGGAGTGCTGCAGAGATGGTTGTCCTTCTGGAAGGTTCTCCCATCTCCACAGAGGAACTGTGGAGCTCTGTCAGAGTGACCATCGGGTTCTTGGTCACCTCCCTGACAAGGCCCTTCACCCCCGATTGCTAAGTTTGGCTGGGCGGCCAGCTCTAGGAAGAGTCTTGGTGGTTCCAAACTTCTTCCATTTAAGAATGATGGAGGCCACTGTGTTCTTGGGGACCTTCAATGCTGCAGACATTTTTTGGTACCCTTCCCCAGATCTGTGCATCAACACAATCCTGTCTCGGAGCTCTGGACAATTCCTTTGAGCTCATGCCTTGGTTTTTGCTCTGATATGCACTGTCAACTGTGGGACCTTATATAGACAGGTGTGTGCCTTTCCAAATCATGTCCAATCAATTGAATTTACCACAGGTGGACTCCAATCAAGTTGTAGAAACATCTCAAGGATGATCAATGGAAACAGGATGCACCTGAGCTCAATTTCCAGTCTCATAGCAAAGGGTCTGAATACTTATTTACATAAGGTATTTCTGTTTATTTAAGAAATTTGCAGAAATGTCTAAAAACCTGTTTTTGCTTTGTCATTATGGGGTATTGTGTGTAAATTGATGAGGGGGAAAAAATATTTAATTTTAGAATAAGGCTGTAACGAAACAAAATGTGGAAAAAGTCAAGGGGTCTGAACACTTTCCAAATGCACTGTACATTTTTGGCGATCAACCGGTTGGTGACATTTTTTCAATTTTAGTCATTTATCCAGAGCGACTTACAGTTAGTGAGTGCATACATTTTCATACTGCTTTGGAGTGTTCACCCTGCACAACAAATTAAGCCAACCGCACTGAGTTCACAGAAATTGTCTGAAAGGGACTAAGTGTTAAAACACCCTATTTTTATTTATGTGTGTATTGTTATTGTATTGCTAGATATTGATGCACTGTTTGCTAGATATTGCTGCAGCGTTGGAGCTAGAAACACAAGCATTTCGCTGCACCGGCAAGAACCGCAGTGTAGTTATTCCCTCCGTAAGGCAATCAAACAGGAAAAACGTCAGTACAGAGACAAAGTGGAGTCGCAATTCAACGGCTCAGAAACAAGACTTATGTCGCAGGGTCTACAGACAATCACGGATTACAATGGGAATACCAGCCACGTCGCGGACACTGACGTCTTGCTCCCAGACAAGCTAAGCACCTTCTTCGTCCTCTTTGAGGATAACACAGTGCCACCGGCTCGGCCCGCTCCTAAGGACTGTGGGCTCTCGTTCGCCGTGGCCGACGTGAGTAAGCGTGTTAACCCTCGCAAGACTGCCGGCCCAGACGGCATCCCTTGCCGCGTCCTCAGAGCATGCGCAGACCAGCTGGCTGGAGTGTTTACGGACATATTCAATCTCTCCCTATCCCAGTCTGCTGTCCCCACTTGCTTCAAGATGATCACCATTGTTCCTGAAACCAAGAAAGCAAAGGTAACTGAACTAAATTATTATCACCCCGTAGCACTCACTTCTGTCATCATGAAGTGCTTTGAGGCTAGTTAAGGATCATATCACCTCTACCTTACCTGACACCCTAGACCCACTTCAATTTGCTTACCGCCCCAATAGATCCACAGACGATGCAATCGCCATCGCACTGCACACTGCCCTACACCATCTGGACAAGAGGAATACCTACGTCAGAATGCTGTTCATTGACTATAGCTCAGCCTTCAACACCAGAGTACCCTCCAAGCTCATCATTAAGCTTGGGGCCCTGGGTGTGAACCCTGCCCTGTGCAACTGGGTCCTGGACTTCCTGACGTGCCGCCCCCCAGGTGGTGAAGGTAGGAAACAACACCTCCACAGGGTCCCCACAATGGTGTGTGTGCTCAGCCCCCTCCTGTACTCCCTGTTCACCCATGACTGCGTAGCCACGCACACATCCAACTCAATCATAAAGTTTGCGGACGACACAACAGCAGTAGGCCTGATTACCAACAGTGACGAGACAGCCTACATGGAGGAGGTGAGGGCCCTAGCGGAGTGGTGTCAGGAAAATAACCTCTCCCTCAATGTCAACAAAACGAAGGAGATGATTGTGGACTTCAGGAAACAGCAGAGGGAGCACGCCCCTATCCACATCAACGGGACTGCAGTGGAGAAGGTGGAAAGCGTCAAGTTCCTCTGCGTACACATCACTGACAATCCGAAATGGTCCACCCACACAGACAGGGTGGTGAAGAAGGCGCAACAGCGCCTCTTCAACCTCAGGAGGCTGAAGAAATTCAGCTTAGCCCCTAAGACCCTCAGAAACTTTTACAGATGCACAATTGAGAGCATCCTGTCGGGCTGTATCACTGCCTGGTACGGCAACTGCACCGCCTGCAACCACAGGGCTCTCCAGAGGGTGGTACGGTCTGCCCAGCGCATCACCGGGGACACACTGCCTGCCCTCCAGGACACCTACAACACCCGATGTCACAGGAAGGCCAAAAAGATCATCAAGGACATCAACCACCCGAGCCACGGCCTGTTCACCCCACTATCATCCAGAAGGCCAGGTCAGTACAGGTGCACAAGCATTTCGCTACACCCGCAATAACATCTGCTGAATATGTGTATGTCTGTCTAAATCTGTGTAAGTGACCAATAAACTTTGATTTGATAAAGAAACTGTGTGATATCAATAAGGCTAAATAGACTTGCTACTGCTAATAACATTAACAGAAACCTACAGGTGATTTCTCTCATGCTCGTACTGTTCTGTATTTTGAGTGCTGCCACTACCCTAGTCTTGCTAGGTATGGGAGAATCTCAATTGCATTCTCCTCGCGTCCTCTCTCCTTCTCAAAACCCATTGGAGGAGAAGGTCAGAGGGGAGGGACCTCTGGTTTTCTCATCCAATGGGTTTTGAGAAGGAGACGATGAGAGAGGACGCGAGGAGTATGCAATTAAGATCTTCCCTATGTGTGACCCTACTCCAGTATCAGTGCGTCCGTGTGTAAGGCAGGCTTTTCCATTGGCGGAGGGGGTAGAGGGGGCTGTTACCTCACAGGCAGCTGTGAAAGGTGGAACTCACTAACACACGTTCCAGAAGGATCGTGACATCATCAGTGCGAGCCGAACCCACTGCTAGGGGCATCCAGTGAGCGAGAGCGGAGGGAAGCGGATTGTCAGAGGGGAAATCCTTAAGGTGCCTAGTGCTGCGTAATGCTTTGTGTTTTTCTTACATCCAGACCAGTACAGTTTGAGCTAAACCAGCTGACATTTGTAGCTCTGTGGCAACAAAAAAAAACAGCCTTCAGAACAAAAATGGTGTCCCTCTGACGCCTATACGTTGTTTACATGAAATCCCTAAACCAAGGATAAATCTGGTAATAACAGTGGGGTTGGCATTATCTAACCACAATGAGCTGGGTCATTACCTAGGCCTAAGTGAGCTGGGTCTGTATTGTAGCCAACTTTAGAACGGCCCTCTCCACGGTCAGTCTGTGTGTGAACTTTCAGATTTGCTGAGTTCATATCTAATTGGTGATCCTGTTGTGGGGCTTGTGAGATGCATTAGTTCAGGCCTCCGACCTACTGTGTGGTGAGAGACGTTAGTTCTGGTGTGTGTGTGTGTGTGTGTGTGTGGAATTGTGCTGAGAGTTGTTCGTTCTGGTATGTGACACACGGTGCTGTGGAGATTTTGTCTATGTCAATCATTAACTACGTTTCCATCCACAGTTTTTATGAGAGTAAAGTCATACCTTATAAAAAAAAGAAAATCACGACAGCTGTGATGGAAACGGATAGTTTGGGTACAATTTTTTAAAATGCAGACAGATAATTCGTTTGTTCGACATGGTGGGATCTTTTGTGTCTGCAAAATACATTTGCGAGAAGTGGTGGAAACACCTTTATGCGCAAATATTGATATAATAACATCATATCGAATTAAGCTAGGGAGTCATGCTATGATATGTTGTGTGGTCCTCCACTACGACTCGGGAAACCATGCAGTTTATAGGCTACAGATTAAATAAGCTATGAACTTCAAAGGGTGGTGAATGTGCAAGGTGATGAGCTTGATGCTCCTTTCCAATAAATAAAGGGTCTTATTCTGGTGACATGATGATTGACTGCAGTTATCTATAATAATTCCATCAGGTAGACTAGCCTACCCACACAGCCTACCCACACAGTCATGAAATTTTGTCTTCCGGTTATTGTTATTGTCATGGAAATTACTGCCGGTCTCATGGTAATTGACCGTTAATTAACAAACACTTTTAGCGTCGCCAGGCCTCCATGATTACAAGCCGCAGATGTGCGCCTTAGGAACATCTACATAAAATAAACTAATAAATCCATTGAATATACACCATCACAATAAATGCATTATTTATTTTAGGCAGGTCTAAAGAAACATTCTGATATGAATAAAATGTATTCCAGTAGAACAGGATAGGAGTATGTTATCTGGCTATACACCATGCCATAGGCCAGGGTTCCCCAACTGGCGGCCCACAGGCCGAATTTGGCCCACTTACGCTCTGTTTCTTGCCTCAGGCTGCACACGCTGGTCTCATCAAGTGATCATATTTTCACCCTAATATGTAACATTTGTTTCGATTTAGAATGGCCCATTATCAAATGGGCAGGAACAGGAGCAGGGAGAAAAAAGACATGTCCGTATGCACTCGAATAGCGAATGGAAGCTGCTTTCCCGCAGTTAATTTTTCAAATCATGCCGGGTAGGCTACTCCAGTTTTATAGTGCAGCTGAGAAATAAATATAGTAGCTGCTGGGATCATCCTCTTTTTAGTGGCAACTGTCAAAACTGAGGGCCTAGACTCAGCTCAGTCCACATAATCAAGGAGGCTAATGTGCCTGGAACCTTCTATACAACTTACCACACCCACAATTCAGACAGTATTATGGGACTGTCTGGGTAGTTTGCTATGTTGAAGTAAATTATTCAAATCATGACGACAGACACACAGGCTCTCTCTAAAAACATCCCACAACCCTAGGTAGCTTAAATGGCTCAACCTCCTAAAACACACAATCGGATTTGCTCCGCTTCTTCTGAGTATCACACACACATAGGCACGCACACACCTGGGAATGACGCACCTGTTCACCTTTAATCACTCAGCAGTGTGTCATGGGCAATGATCTGGGCTTGGCTTACAAAACCCCATTAAAAACAACCTTTAATGATAACATCCACAGGCAAACAGAGTTAGGTTGCGCCAGTCTGAGCAGCAATAGGCTGGCTATATAAAGACTGTTATACTGTATACCATATCCCGTATGACTCAGGCCTCTAAGAGCTTAGTATATCACACCATCGACCAAAACAAAGACTGAAGCCTAAAAACGAACAAAACATCCCCACTGGAGATTTCATGACCACAATATCAAGACATTTATCATGATAGTCTGACCAGCATTGCCATTATCATAATGAGATTGCTGCATAGCAAAGTGTTCTTGTCCAAATACCAGAAGATTTTTCTCTACTCTCTAAAATGGCTGCTGTGGAAGGGATTTGAGGCTAAATGTCCTAGTATTTTCCTAAACTACCTAAGCAGACACTTTTATTGTAGAGGACACACATTTCTCTGTTCACTGCCTTGCCCAAACTGCTCATTGTCACAGTCCTTTTTGACTTGCATCTCAAAATGGCTACCTCTTGAGCCTTTGGAATGACATTGTTAAAAAACTGAATCAACTGGCTTACAATGTACCTGAAAGAGAACGATACTGTCTGGTAGTTTAATGTTCTTAACTTAAAATTACAGTAGATGGCCCAGGAAATTGTAGGCTTAAGCACACATGTCAAAATGTATGCCTCTTCACCACAATATCGCACACATAGGTGTAGGAAAAGTAGGTACTTACATGTGCAGTTCACCCATTGACAGTCACCAGCACATGCACCACAAGCAAGTGCAGCACATCCATCAACTGAAAAGGGAAACATCAATCAACATAGAAGTAATTACATGTGTATAACTAAGGTAAGTTGTAATAGACGGAATTTGCCCAACTTTGATGGATATAGACCTAATTGGACCTGTCAGGGAGATATTTACTAGGCAAAACATTAGACTCATCAACTGTATGTAAATCGTTAGTCACAGGGAGTGGTAAAGTTCCTATGCGATTCCTGGTAGATGATTCAGTCTAACGTTTCGAGGTGAGAAAGCTCTTTTTTTTTTGTCATTTAGCAGACGCTCTTATCCAGAGCGACTTAAAGGAGCAATTAGGGTTAAGTGCCTTGCTCAAGGGCACATCGACAGATTTTTCACCTAGTCTGCTCGGGGATTAGAACCAGCGACCTTTCGGTTACTGGCACAACGCTCTTAACCACTAAGTTACCTGCCGCCTCTTTGATTTACTCAAAGAGAAGAGGAATTGAATCAATGATTGTTTCTCATTATGCAGGCTAAACTACATCTCTATCTGGCTGTCATGTCAACATCAAGTGCATTACATGTAAAATACCTGTGTCAATGAGGGACTTTAACATTGTTCGTGTGACTTATGTAGCTTGAAATTTGATATGTATGGGCATTATAGCTAGCTAACTAGAGCTTCATAACGCAAAAAATATATAATTTCACGCAAGTGCTATTAGCTAGTTATATTGCATTATGATAACAGCCAGCTGGACATGGGCAACAAGAGAATAGCTGGCCGTTTCACTAAACATCCATCTTCGAAAGTTATAATGTCGTGAAAGGGTACAAGAACCAAAACTCTTAAATTAATAGTTACATAGTTGCCGGTAAGTTCAGTTTCAGTAGGATTTCTGACTAGTATTTTTCTCCCTAAAAGCTAGCTAGGAGGACGATAACGTGGGCTGTTTGATATGTCGCGCGCAGTCTGAAAAAATGCTAGCGGGCTACGGCTGTTAGCTAGCTGTCTAAGCTCAATAAATAAAAACGAACAAGCTTGACATGATTTGACAACACGTAGGATTCGCACAATTCATTTAAAAATAATGTTTGCTGTCACATTCAGGGCAACTAGATAGACGTGATACAAATATACACTCAAAATGTATCGCGCAGTTACCTCTCGTTAGCTAGCTAACGTTAGCTAGCTCCCTCGTTTTCCAATGCAGAAAGCGCAAGAACAGGTTGTGCTGTGCTTTGGTAGGTCGTAAACTTACCTACGCCTGCAGCTGTTGTTGCACTCACCAATGCGAGGACCAATGTAATGTACACAAGTTTTAAGAACATGTTGTTTAATTTATATTTTTTCTCAATTTCTTCTACCCGATTTATACAGTCGCGAGAGAGATCTGGATTTCGGCTGGATACGGGGCTTGTTGCTAACTTGCTACTTCCTCCTACACAGGTCATGTGGCACTTTTTATTGCTTGCTTGCAGGGAGGGGTAAAGAGAAGTGTCGTGATGTGAGACGTCTAGTACTGACATTTTATTTCACAGTATGGCCTACTGTACTTAAAAACACTGACCTCCTGTTTATACTACTTCACTGCAGAGTGGCACAGTTATAATTATCCTGAAAGAAACTCACACCTGTCATAAATCACAATTGAAATAACCTGAGGATTGCATTCTTGCTTATTGGAATCACTTGCAAATTGTTGATGAAACAAACAGATCATACATGCCAACCAACTCATAGCCCCAGGTTAGAACTATAAAACAACTTTTTAAAAAACGTAGTTCTGTTCTGACTGTACACTACAGTGCAGGAATTTGGACAGCAGGCCTACTGTTTTTGTGGCCTCATTTAGGTCAAGCTACCATTTCCTGTATAGTCCACCACCACAAAAGCACATATCTAGAGGACTAGAAATGCGTCTTTGCTTTGGTTTACTCAAAGAGAAGAGGAATTGAATCAACAATGATTGTTTCCCATTATGCAGGCTAAGCTACATCTCTATCTAGCTTTCATTTCTGGTGCGAAAAAAGCTAGATACATACACTATGTATACAAAAGTATGTGGACACCCCTTCATATTAGTGGATTCGGTTCAAATTAGTGGATTCGGCTATTTCAGCCACACCGTTGCTGACTGGTGTATAAAATCGAGCGCACAGCCATGCAATCTCCATAGACAAACATTGGCAGTAGAATGGCATTACTGAAGAGCTCAGTGACTTTCAACGTGGCACCGTCATAGGATGCCACCTTTCCAACAAGTCAGTTCGTCAAATTTCTGCTCTGCTAGAGCTGCCCCTGTCAACTGTAAGTGCTGTTATTGTGAAGTGGAAACGTCTAGGAGCAACAACGGCTCAGCTGCGAAATGGTAGGCCACACAAGCTCACAGAACGGGACTGCCGAGTGCTGAAGCGCTTAAAAATCGCCTGTCCTCGGTTGCAACACTCACTACCGAGTTCCAAACTGCCTCTGGAAGCAAAGTCAGCACAATAACTGTTCGTCGGGAGCTTCATGCAATGGGTTTCCATGGCCGAGCAGCCGCACACAAGTCTAAGATCACCATGCTCAATGCCAAGCGTCGGCTGAGTGGTGTAAAGCTCACCGCCATTGGACTCTGGAGCAGTGGAAATGAGTTCTCTGGAGTGATGAATCACGCTTCACCATCTGGCAGTCCGACATACAGATCTAGGTTTGGCTGATGCCAGGAGAAAGCTACCTGCCCCAATGCATAGTGCCAACTGTAAAGTTTGGTGGAGGAGGAATAATGGTCTGGGGCTGTTTTTCATGGTTCGGGCTAGGCCCCTTAGTTCTAGTAATGGGAAATCTTAACGCCACAGCATACAATGACATTCTAGACGATTCTGTGCTTCCAACTTTGTGGCAACAGTTTGGGGAAGGCCCTTTCCTGTTTCAACATGACAATGGCCCCTTGCACAAAGCGAGGTCCATACAGAAATGGTTTGTCGAGATCGGTGTGGAAGAACTAGACTGGCCTGCACAGAGCCCTGACCTCAACCCCATCAAAAACCTGTGGGATGAATTGGAACGCTGACTGCGAGCCAGGCCTAGTCACCCAACATCAGTGCCCGACCTCACTAATGCTCTTGTGGCTGAATGGAAGCAAGTCCCCTCAGCAATGTTCCAACATCTAGTAGAAAATATTAATGCCCATGATTTTGGAACGAGATGTTTGATGAACAGGTGTCCACATACTTTTGGTCATGTTGTGTATTTACAAACATGGTAATACAGAAACATAAAAAAGAAAACAACATAACAAAGTTCCCAGTCAAGGCTGCCAGTTGTTTGGTTGGCATAAACCAGGGAAAGACAGGGTAGGCCTTTCAACAACCCCTGACCCAGATTTGTGTGGTGTAAATAGATTTGCACCTGCTTAATCGTCCTGTGGCGTGGTGAATTAAAACGATGCCAAGTCCTGATAAACAAAAGGGTTTTAGGGGTTTTAGGACGCCAGTAAAAAACTAGTTCAGCAAACGAATATGTACTGTACACCATGTATATTAGATTTAAGTATATTGTAAAATATGTTTATTGAGTGTATAGGTTATTGTGTATAGTAAAAAACATAAAAATGTGCAGTTAAGGTGACGTCAGGGTTCAAACACTCCACTGTCTGCCACTTTACAGTCTTGTTTGGGTCTCTCATTGTAGGTTGGGACATCCTCAAGTCTCCTCAGAACCTCTGTGCCTTCAACCACTTGACTACAAAACGAAGAGAATATGAAAACATCTGAATACCAGGTACAAAATACAGACATACAGTATATCACAGTCCCGACGCCACAGAGGTTGTTAAATGTTGACATGCAAAAGATTGTGCGAGCCTCAAGGTTTTAGAACACATAACAGAGACACAATCAGTATACTATAGCAGTACACAAACATACACTTCATTCAACTAACAGCACTATCCCACACATTGTCAGAGACGTACACACCCGAAAGCCACATATTTTCTGTCCATCCAAAGGGCGGGCTGCAGGGTGATGTAGAACTGAGAGCTGTTGCTATGAGGACCCTGGTTGGCCATTCCCAGGATGCCCCTCCTACTGTGGGAGACTGCAAAGCTCTCATCTAGCAGAGATCCCACAGCCACATGTTAGTGTGGAGACAGTAAATAGACATGCATAGACATACATCCTAATACATTTCCCTATACTTACTTACTTTCCCTAATACATTTCCCTATGCATGTGTATTAATAATGTAGAGTAGCAACTTGATCTGTAAGGCCTGCGTCTGTACCTTCAAAAGTTGGCCCGTAGATTGACTCCCCTCCGTTGCCTTTGCCTGCTGCCGAAATATCTGCAATAGGGAAATATGACATCATCAAGTGGTGTGTGTGTACTGACAAAGTAAATATTGATGTATGAAAACGTACCGATATGACAACAAACAGATACAGGATGGAATCAATGGCAAGTCAAATACAGTCCTGTATGTCCTTTCTTATCAATGTAGGCCTATAGGGGTGACTTTCAGATAGAGGACCAGGTAGACCGTACCTCCTCCCTGTATCCAGCCGTTGGGCACCACACGATGGAACACAGAACCCTTGTAGGACAGCATTAAGTCACTCTGTGACAGGCCTGCCTCCCCTGTACACAGAGCCTGGAAGTTTTTACACGTCTTCGGACATAGCTCTGTGAACAGCTGGGGAGACAGAAGACCCATGCTGTCAATAAAACTCTGGGCCAACATCTTTACCCATTCAGGTCCAGTCAGATCAATGGTTACAAATGACACAGTCTCACCTCAAACAGTAATCTCCCAACCGATTCCCCTCTGATCGAAACGTCCATGTAAACAAACGTGTGCTGTGGTGGAAGCGAGAGAGGATGTCATGTTGTAGGTATGATGCCACTGTTATAAAGTAAGGTTTACTTTAGGGCCATTGGGCTTGCTATAGTAACTGCACTGTCTGTATGTCTGTCTGTCTGTGTTTCATGGTCTATGGTGTCACTCTATCCTAATCCTATGTAAGTGCAGTGTGTAGACTAGACTTGCCCCAGTGCTGTGGAGGTGTTTAGAGTAGTAGTCGTCAGCGAGGGCCAGGTATAGTGCATGTGGACGGATGAGTGTGAACTCCCACTGCTTCTCAGCCCAGCTGGTCAGGTCCTTCTCGTCGCCAAGGAGACAACCATTCACGAAACACATTAGGTTGCTGGAGAACTGCCACACCTCCCCTTTCAGCTCCTTGGTTTGAAAATGTTAAAGGATGCAGTTTAACTCAACAATTCATAATAATAATATTGTTGACTAATGCACACCACACCACAGCTCATGCCATACATCACACTACTTTGCTAAGCATTATGCTGCATTTGAGTCTATTATTCATGAATGCAGCATTTAGAACTTATCAAATAAATATACTCAGAAAGTATACCCACTCTTTTCTTATTGGTTAGATACACATGCCAGTCACATTCGAGTAATGGACGAATTGTTGGATCCAAAAACAAGGGGGGAAACTTCTGTTTCAGTCCCTGTGTTGACAGAAAACATGATTTCGTGTGCTCAGTCAGTGCTCATGCTTGATAGCCTTAGCTAGCTAGCTAGCTAGCCAGGTTGGTTTGCCAGAATATCGATATTTAAACTTGACTTTGAAGATGAAAGTTACCTCGGCAATGGTCGTAGCAATTTGAAAATTGTGTTCTTTCATCAAACCCACGATTTCCAGGTAAACTTCAGAAGTCATGGTGGTGTATTTCCATTGGCTGCATTATTCTTTTTTGACAGCCCAGTGGTGTTTGTAAACAAGACGTCTCCATGGTAACATTGCAGTAGCGCGCTAAAATGACGTTTATGTCGCATTTTGTTTTGTCTAGCCTGGGGACAGGTTGAGAAACTCTAGTAGTCTTTTTGGCCAATGGTGCTTTCAAGACAACTTGGAACAAACAAAAAAATGAGGTCAAATAATGACGCCTGTGATCTTAGTTCAGAAAGTCGGAGTTTCAGACTTGGAATTCCGAGTCAGATGACCTTTCAAAACGTTTTTTCCCAGTCGGAGCTCGTTTTTTCCCGGATGTCGGAGATCTCCGATTTCCCAGTTCCCAGTTGTTGTTAACGCGGCATAAAATTCCACTTCCCTTCTTGTAGTGGCCTTGTGACGGAGTTGCTGATTGGTTGTTAAACATAGCATTATTCCCTTGACAACACGTGGAGTTTCGAAAATAGAAAGCTAAGACGTTTTGTGGTTGGAATTGCAGTAGGTATTTATACTGAACAAAAATATAAACGCAACTTGCCACAATTTCAACGATTTTACTGAGTTACAGTTCATATAAGGAAATCAGACAATTGAAATAAATTCATTAGGCCCTAATCTATGGATTTCACATGACTTGGCAGGGGCGCAGCAATCGGTGGGCCTGGGAGGGCATAGGCCCACCCACTTGGGAGCAAGGCCTAGCCAATCAGAATGAGTTTTTCCCCACAAAAGGGCTTTATTACAGACAGAAATACTCCTCAGTTTCATTAGCTGTCCAGGTGGCTGGTCTCAGACGATCCCGCAGATGAAGAAGCAGGATGTGGAGGTCCTGGGCTGGCGTGGTTGCATGTGGTCTGCGATTGTGAGGCCGGTTACTGTCAAATTCTCTAAAACGACATTGTAGGCGGCTTATGGTAGAGAAATGAACATTCAATTCTCTGGCAACAGCTCTGGTGGACATTCCTGCAGTCAGCATGCCAATTGCACACTCCCTCAAAACTTGTTTAATCAGCTTCTTGATATGCCACACTTGTCAGGTGGATATATTATCTTGGCAAAGGAGAAATGCTCACTAACTAGGGATGTACACAAATTTGTGCACACAATTTGAGAGAAATAAGCTTTTTGTGCGTATGGAACATTTCTGTGATCTTTTATTTCAGCTCATGAAACATGGGACCAACACTTTACATGTTGCGTTTATATTTTTGTTCAGTATATCCATCCTAGTAGGAGCAGTCCCCGATAGGAATGAATGAAATTCTACATTCTACATTTCAATTAAATGTTTAAAGGACAAAATTACATTTATTTACAGTAAGTATTTTTTTGTTGTAGTGGGGACAGTAACATTAGTGCTCTCTAAAAAAATTACTTTAAGGAAAATGTTTTTATATTTTTCATGTTTAGCTCACATAATATAATTTAAGAGTATTCATTAAGGTGACTGTAATTGAATACACGTGTCAAAACCGAATGTAGACATTAATAAACGCATTTCTATTGCCTCCTAAATATTTTTTTTACAATTGAGGAGTACCAAGATGGCTGCACGAATGCTTCAATACAGCGCCCCCTGTCAGTCATCCAGGGTTTATACACATCATTGCTTTTGAGAGACTGGTTTTGTCTGGACAGTGGACAAACAAAATACGGTTGCATACCAATGTGATCTGTGGAGGAAAACAGTTCCAATATTTGCATAATTGTTGTGATCGGATGATAGCTGTGAGGGTTATCGAATCAGGATCAAATCCTCTGTTCTCCTCGAGCTCATTAATGATAGAATCAAAGACAGTACAGTATGGTTTAGAAACTGTGATCAAATGTTCATATTTGAAGATGGCAGAAAGGACAGTCTGTTTAGCAGGACAAGGAGTGGCGATGAGTGGAATGATAGCTAAACAGACTGGTACCCAGACTACAGGTTCTCATAAAAATGAATAAATTATGTAGAATTAGGAATTAGAATACTAGAATGGACATTAACCTTCTTATCAACGAATAAAGGTCAGCTGTTTACATATATTTTAGAGGCTATTTATACAGAACATTTGTATAAAACCTGTATAAACTGTATTTATAATTATATGACTATTTTAGGTTGACAATAATTCTATTACCCAATTTCTAATATATCACATGCCTTACTTTTATCTTCCTGCATAAGTAAAATCAAGAGTATGCCTCTACTGCCATTCATTCCAATTAGACTGGTTTGGATTTATCCCTGCCCAATATGGCTGCCATTTATTCCATTCTGGAACTTTGAGGGTTTATGACATAGTAATTTAATAGGATCTCTATATCAATATCAAATAATTTCTGGGTAACAATGAAGTATCTTACTGTGATTGTTTTCAATTAAAATGTTTGAAAATAAACAAAAATAGATTTTTAGCAAAGAGCAATTTCTCATGCAAGAATTTTGCTAGGACTGGAGTGGTCTGAGTGGGGAGGGGGAAACTGAAAACTAGCTATTATTGGCAGAGAGGTTTGGAACGCTCTGTCTTATTGGTCTATAGAGGGCTTGCAGTTGACATAAAAAACCTCCTGGCGGCCATGTTGGAAAGCACCGCGTTAATTCTTCAGACAACAACAGCTGAGTGGCTACCCCAAACTGCATGATAACCGTGCCTAAAACTATTTGATTCATCACCACGGTCATTTTCTGTAGAGTATGTGGCTGCTCTAACAAGGCAGGAAAGACAACAGGAAAAAAATATGTTTACAGATTCCCCACAATCATGAAACACCATTGGTGAAACTAAGGTAAGACTCAAGACCTGTCAGAAAAGCGAAGAAAACTTTTTGCCTGTCAAGACCTGAACCCAAACAGCTGTCAGTAACGGGTCTGCTAAGATCATTTAATCACTGGTAAGTCAAGTCTGATCGATTTCGAGTTTAGTTTAGCTGTTATGCTAACCAAGTGTTAACAACAACAACACTAAGTTAGCCAAAATTAGCTAGCTAGATAGCTTGTAGTCTGTCTTATGAGTAGATTGGATGGTGATAATTTGGGCTATTAATAATTGTTGAAGCACCTTTGGCAGCGATTACAGCCTCGAGTCTTCTTGGGTATGACGCTACAAGTTTGGCACGCCTGTATTTGGAGAGTTTCTCCCATTCTTCTCTGCAGATCCTCTCAAGCTCTGTCAGGTTGGATGGGGAGCTTTGCTGCACAGCTATTTTCAGGTCTCTCCAGAGATGTTCGATTGGGTTCAAGTCCGGGCTCTGGCTAGGCGACTGAAGGACATTCAAAGCCACTCTTGGCTGTTTGCTTAGGGTCGTTGTCCCGTTGGAAGGTGAACCTTCGCCCCCAGTCTGAGGTCCTGAACGCTCTGGAGCAGGTTTTCATCAAGGATCTCTCTGTACTTTGCTCCGTTCATCTTTGCCTCGATCCTGACTAATCTCCCAGTCCCTGCCGCTGAGAAACATCCCCACAGGGATGGTGCCAGGTTTCCTCCAGAGGTGACACTTGGCATTCAGGCCAAAGAGTTCAATCTTGGTTTCATCAGACCAGAGAATCTTGTTTCTCATGGTCTGAGAGTCCTTTAGTGCCTTTTGGCAAACTCCAAGCGGGCTGTCATGTGCCTTTTTACTGAGGAGTGGCTTCCGTCTGGCCACTCTACCATAAAGGCCTGATTGGTGGAGTGTTGCAGAGATGGTTGTCCTTCTGGAAGGTTCTCCCATCTCCACAGAGGAACTCTGGATGTCTGTCAGAGTGACCATCGGGTTCTTGATCACCTCCCTGACCTTCTCCCCGATTGCTCAGTTTGGCCGGGCGGCCAGCCCTAGGAAGAGTCTTGGTGGTTCCAAACTTCTTCCATTTAAGAATGATGGAGGACACTGTGTTTTTGGGGACCTCAATGCTGCAGACATATTTTGGTACCCTTCCCCAGTTCTGTGCCTCGACACAATCCTGTCTCGGAGCTCTACGGACAATTCCTTCGACCTCATGCCTTGGTTTTTGCTCTGACATGCACTGTCAACTGTGGGACCTTATATTGACAGGTGTGTGCCTTTCCAAATCATGTCCAATCAAATCAAGTTGTAGAAACATCTCAAGGATGATCAATGGAAACAAGATGCACCTGAGCTCAATTTCGAGTCTCATAGCAAAGGGTCTGAATACTGTTGTAAATACGTTTTTTTTGTTTATTTGCCAACATTTCTAAAAACCTGTTTTCGCTTTGTCATTATGGGGTATTGTGTGTAGATTGAGGGAAAATTTAATTTAATCAATTTTAGAATAAGTCTGTAACATAACAAAATATGGAAAAAGGGAAGGGGTCTGAATACTTTCTGAATGCACTGTATGCTCCGGATCGCTTGTGGACTTCAATGCACAACACATCAGCTGTATGTGACCAGGCGAAAAAACCTTTCCAAGCCAAATCGCTTCACACAACCTACATCGTTCTCACCATATTAGCTAAAGTAACGTCATAGTTAGCATAGATAATATAACTAACGCGTTAGTAAACACGCTACAATCATGAAGTTACAGTGTACAGTCAGTAAGCAGTTACACCAGCGGTCCCCGGTGGCAATAAATGAGTAAAACCAAAAGCTTACCTTGACCTTGCAGAGTACCAGTGTTGTTAGAAAGTCATAGCCAGCTAGCTAACATAGTATCCCTTTGTTTGAGCAGGGTGTTTCAGTAGGCTAAACTAGCTAGCTGCATTTACTAGCTAAGTATGTGAAAGTGAAAAAAAGTACACTCTCTCTCTATTTCTCTCTTGCTTCTCCTTCATTTTGGAAGAAATTAATTTGTTAAAAACTGTTCAACTATTCTCTTTCTCTCTCTTTGAGTCAACTACTCACCACATTTTATGCAGTGCAGTGCTAGCTAGCTGTAGCTTTCAGTACTAGATTAATTATCTGATCCTTTGATTGGGTGGACAACATGCCAGTTCATGCTGCAACCTCCTCCGGAAGTTGTCATAATTACTGTGTAAGTCTATGGAAGGGGGTGAGAACCATGAGCCTCCTAGGTTTTGTATTGAAGTCAATGTACCCAGAGGAGGATGGAAGCTAGCTGTCCTCCGGTACACCATGGTGCTACCCTACAGAGTGCTGTTGAGGCTACTGTAGACCTTCTTTGCAAAATAGTGTGTTTTAATCAATTATTTGGTGATGTGATTATATTTAGTATAGTTTTATCTAAAAAGGATAACTTTTTAAATGTTTTACCATTTTTATTTTTATGAAATTCACTGAGGATGGTCCCCTTCCTCCTCTGAGGAGCCTCCACTGATTTACTAACTTGAATAGGTTCTCCCACTGCCTCTGTTTTCTGGGTCCTTAGAAAAACAAAATAATGGGCAATCTTCCTGAAGTTTCCGGTGGTAGCAAAACGCAGCCAGCCATGTGGACGATTGGAGGACTTTCAACAAACTGAGTTTGTTCTTCCAACATGGCGCTTGGTGCGGTTGCTAGGTGATTTGTGACGCAACTGCAAGCCCTCTATTCACAAATTTCCAGCCTGGTGTTGTCACCAGGCAGGCCAAAACTCCATCCCACCAAACAGGCTGAAATTTCAGGCGGTCTTTTCAAACGGCTCTTACACTAAAAGGGCATTATCATCATATTCACAATTTCAAAGTATTATTCCAACAAAGTGTGGAAATATATATTTATATATATATATATATATATATATATAAAAACACAGGAAAATCACATTTCTGACTGCACTGGGTCTTTAATATGTACTAAGAAAACCCCACTGACTTTCAACTTACAAATGGTGAACTAACAAAATGTATTCGGTTAAACAATAAAGAAACACTTAGAAATATGTTCATAGCAGTTTAAAAGGACTGCAATTCTAATTTCACCCTTCCATATAGCAACAGTACAATGCACCCTGTGAAATACTGAGAGCTCATCATTTCAGTGAACAGTTACAGACAATATTTCACAAGTCGTGAGGTACTATAGCACCCCAGCAGCAGCCCCTGTGGACTCTCCAAAGGCCAGAAACCTGTGCAGCTTAAATTCAAAGTCTATGGGCTGCTCCTGAGGAGCTCTGTACTTCTTGGTCATAGTGGAGCCCAGGTAGGAGATAAGCTCACAATTCTCCTCAAATGACGCCAGCTTCTTCTTGTATTTCTGGCGGATGTAGTCAGAGTTCCTGGGGTTGAAGGCTGAGGAACGGAGAGAGGGATGAAGGGAATAAGGAGGGAGCACAGGATGAAAGAATGGACAAGCAAGATAATGCAGTCAAATTATAACCCGAGACCAATGCACTGCAAAGATAGCATGACCAGTGGCCGTGTGACATTGTGATGATGACATAAACTTGGGTGTGTGAAGAGCCCTAAGGCTTCTCTCAGGGATTTTTGCATACCTTTCAAATAAAAGGCCAGATAATGGAGAGCCGATCTCTTCACACTGAGGTAGGGAAACTTTGGTTTGAGACACCCGACGGCCGTCAGAGCTTTAATGACAGATCTTGCCACGCCCTGATATGGAACACAAAACCTCTGGTCAACATACAGTATGTCACATGCACTGTAGTGTAAACACACTTCAGCAATTTCTATTCAGATTAAGTCACTCCAGTAATTACATCCAGAGTGCCTCCCGGTGTGTTTGAGCCTCAGTCTCACCTGTTCCATGTAGCCTAGCATGGGCAGGGAGGTGAGCTGCACAGGCTCACTCATAGGAGGCAGCTTGTCGGGCAGCTTCTGGTTCCAATAGGTCTCAGGTAACCTGAGGGGAGGAGCAAGGAGTTGTTGGAAGATAATTGGTTTGGCTTCCTAACAATATTCAAATTGACAGTTTGAGATCACACCAGGTTCATTGTATCAGTCCATTACTGACCTCAGAAACCTGTCCTGTTTCTGTTTATTCTCGAAAATGTAGATTCGTTGCCGATATTCCACGGAGAACTCCACGCTTCCACGAACCAGGGCCTCATACCTGAGGAGAGTTTCAAACTAAAATCAATACATCTCAATGGCACTAACATGAAACGGAATTAACTGAGAACCTATAGCAAGCAGCCTGTCTGGGAGGTGGGTTGAGAGCAAAAATCACAACAGGTCTGTGAGAGCAAGTTTGCTCTGATCAGGTTTTTAAATACCTAAGGCCAAACAAATGTATTTAAATATTTAACGGATGCCCCACTTCACTTTTCTCATAAACATTTTTATTATAATAATCAGGAAAATTGCTGAACTATGCCACTTATATTCTCTCTAAGATGTTAAAATCTATTGATTAAGTTTCTAGGTGTTGAACTAAGATCACTATAGTATTTTAACAAGGTCAACTTTTTTGGTATTTTTTTTGTTAGCTCACTCTTTTCGAAAAATGAAATCCGTTAAACATTTAATTATATTTCTATGGCCTAATACATTTAAATAACTTAATAGATACCTAATAACTGCCATATTCCAAACTTGAGGCCTCTTAAAAAGCCAGAGACCTACAGAGAACCCATGCCCTCCTGTGCCAGCATTGAAGAAGAATGGTACTATACTGAATAGATAGGAGTAATGCCAGTGTGTTCCTGGGTACCTCTGCCTCCCGTCCAGGTAGGTGACAGGGCAGTAGCCCTTCATCTCCACCTGCTGGGGGAACCTGGCCTTCACCTGGCCGGCCGTAAGCTTCTTGGGCATCATGTGGGGAGGAGGGAGAGCGTGGGGGCAGCCCGGGATCACAAACTGTTCTGGAGTCTCCAGGAAGAGCTTTTGTAGATAGGGGTACAATACAAAGAGAGAAATCACTATCATTTTACCTCTGTTAATAAATTAGTTCCTGTGATGTAATAATATACATTGTACCTTTTAACCACAGATCTCGCAGAGCACTTTACACACATTATAGTCGCCAACTCAATGATGACTGTCACCAGGTATGAGACCCACCTTCAGGTACTCCCGAGAGCACATCTTGTAATAGTGTCCCCTGAACTCAGCTGCCAGCTCCAGAGATGTAGTGAGAGAACAGTCCACCAGGTGGCGATGGAGGGCCAGGCTGACAGGGCAGTAATGGCTAAACTCACCCAGCCGAGACTTCAGCTCCTTTGGGGTGATGCACAGCCTGTCGATGCTAGCTGCATGGCCTGTAGGGGCCAGGGTCAAAGACATAGGAGAAGCAGCGATCTCATTAGCCTTTAATATATACTGAACAAAAATATAAATGCAACAATTTCTAAGATTTTACTGAGTTACAGTCCATATGAGGAAATCAGTCAATTGAAATAAATGTATTAGGCCCTAATCTATGGATTTCACATGACTGGGAATACAGATATGCATCTGTTGGTCAGATACCTTTAAAGACATGGGCCTCAGGATCTCGTCACGGTATTTCTGTGCATTCAAATTTACATTGATAAAATGCAATTGCGTTTGATGTTCTTAGCTTATGCCTGCCCATACCATAACCCCACCATCACCATGAGGCACTCTGTTCACAACGTTGACATCAGCAAACTGGTCGACCACACGCCGCCATACACGTGGTCTGCGGTTGTGAGGCCGGTTGGACATACACCCAAATTCTCTAAAACAATGTTGAAGGCGGCTCATGGTAGAGAAATGAACATTAAATTCTCTGGCAACAGCTCTGGTGGACATTCCTGCAGTCAGCATGCCAATCGCATGCTCCCTCAAAACAGGCCTCCTGTAGCTCAATTGGTAGAGTATGGCGCTTGCAACGCCAGGGTTGTGGGTTCGATTCCCACGTGGGGCCAGTAACTGTAAGTCGCTCTGGATAAGAGCGTCTGCTAAATGACTAAAATGTAAATGTAAAACTGCACATTTTAGAGGGGCCTTTTATTGTCCCCAGCACAAGGTGCACCTGTGCAATGATCATGCTGTTTAATCAGCTTCTTGAAATGTCACATCTGTCAGGTGGATGGATTACCTTGGCAAAGGAGAAATGCTCACTTACAAGGATGTAAACAAATTTGTGCACAACATTTGAGAGAAATAAGCTTTTTGTGCGTATGGAACATTTCTGGGATATTTTATTTCAGCTCATGAAACATGGGACCAACACTTTACATGTTGCGTTTATATTTTTGTTCAGTGTAGAAATCAAATAATTGAATAGGCTTTTTTATATTTTCTCTAGATCAGTGTTTCCCAAACCTCTCCTCAAGTACCCCCAGCCAGTCCACATATCTGATGTATTCCAGAACTAATGAGGGGCTTGATGATTAGGCAACCATTTAAATCAGCTGTGCTGGTTCTGGGATACATCAAATACAGTAAGTGGACTGACTGGGTAGGAGAGGTTTGGGAAACACTGCTCTAGACTGTATATATTACCAGTGCGTATTTTCTCCAGGTAGGTGTGGATGTGTCTCATGCGCATGCGGGCCTCATCCAGGACTCTGTTCCAGACCCACCACTTGGAGTTGTGTCCATCCACAGAGACCCAGTTCTGGTACTGCTGCTGGTAGTGCTGCCTCACCGCCTCCACCTCACGCTTGAAGTTAGAGTTACGGATGTTCAGGATCTGGGGGCTGTCATGCATCAGGTGGGGCCTGCCAGGGGAGGGGGATAATAAAGTGACAGTTTACGCCAAAATGATAAGATTAATCCATGTCCCAGGTCGTCTGTTGTGTAGATCCAGCTACATGCCCTAAATCTCAAATGAATGGGAAGCATAGACACTGTCAAAGTTTATTAATTTCAGATGGTGGCAAACTTTCCCATTCATTTGAGATTGATGCATGTAGCTGGATGTACAGTACACAACAGTTTTGTCCTCTCTGGCATGGCCATCTAGTGCCACCCCTCTGACCTGTTGGGCTTCATCTTGTCACTGAGGCCTCTCTTTAGCACCTCCACGGTGTCCAGCTGCAGCTCCACCACAAGCACTGGGATGATGCTCCGAGCCTCCATCAAATCAGCCTGCTTACGCGTCATAGGGAAGCCGTCCAACACGTACCTGAGATAGGGGAGGAAATACAGTAAATAGAATATGTCATGGAAATACAATGTATAGCCTTGTCAACCTTCTGGTTGACATACAATGAAATGTTGCTTTTGGTCTGTTCAATACAACCTTTTTCCAGCTTTTGATTGGTCTGCATGGATCAACTAAAACAATTACCGTCTCACTGGGACTAATTGACTTTTTACGTTTTATGACATCATTCAGAAAGAAGCCAGACATTAGAAAGGGGGAAATTCAACACCGCCTCTATATTTCTGCCAAGGTTAGCGGCCTTACCCCCTGGTGCTGCAGACCAGGTTCATGAGGGCCACCTCCAGACACTGGATGGCCAATTCGTCTGGCAAGGTGTGACCCTGGGAGAGGTGCTTCATCATCTGGGTGGCCAGCTCTGTCCTACCCTGGCTGGCCAGCACAGTCCGCATCACGTCCCCAATGGACAGACGAGCCAGGCTGTACTCATGGGCAAACATCCTCGCCACTGCACAACACAGATAGAGATGGGTGTGTTCTCTGTTAGGGTGAGCTAATGTACAGCTGGATTGGCAGAACTGGCCTGAGATGGTCTTAAATCTAAGTTTGTGTTAGAGAGAATCAAATCCTATTGCATTGTTTGACAAGTTACAGTAAAGTGAGTTTTAGTGCATTCATAGAGGAGAAAGGAGTATAAGAATCAAATAAACATATTGCAAACAATCCTTACAAAAAGTGAATTACGTTCACTTACCACAGAGCTAAAGCTGTGATGAGAACAGTGGTGTAAAGTAAAAATACTTGAAAGTAGTACTTAAGTCGTTTTTTGGTGGGGGGGTATCTGTCCTTTTATTTACTATTTATATTTTTGACAACTGTTGCTTTTACTACACTACATTCCTAAAGAAAATAATGTACTTTTTACTTCATACATTTTCCCTGACACCCAAAAGTACTCATTATATTTTGAATGCTTAGCAGGACAGGAAAATTGCATAATTCACACACTTATCAAGATAACCTCTCTGGTCATCCCTACTGCCCCTGATCTGGCAGACTCACTAAACACAAGCTTTGTTGGTAAATGATGTCTGAGTGTTGGAGCATGCCCCTGGTTATGCGTAAATAAATAAAAAACAAGAAAATGATGCTGTCTGGTTTGCTTTATATAAGGAATTTCAAATTATTTATACTTTTACTTTTGATACTTATGTATATTTTTAGCAATTAGATTTACTTTTGATACTTAAGTAAACCAAATACTTTTAGACTTTTACACAAGTAGTATTTTACTGGGTGACTTTCACTTTTACTTGAGTAATTTTCTATTAAGGTATCTTTACTTTTACTCAAGTATGACAATTTAGTACTTTTTCTGGATGAGAACTTGTGTAATATGCCTCTACGTGTTGCGAACTCTGACCTGTGGTTTTGCCTGACTTGGGTGGTCCGATGATGACCAGTTTTATGGGAAGGGAGGGGTTGGGTTTGGGCTGCTTCAGGTACTTGATGGGGTTGAGGACGAAGGTGTTCCTCGTCTCCTTGGAGGCGAAGAAGTAGATGAACTGGTGGAAGAGCACGGGGTAGGGGGTGTTCAGGGGACCCTGCACTGGCTGGATCAGGTCTCCCTCTGTGTACTAAAAGAGGAACATATGAGATCTGCTATTAGTCACATCACAACATACGGGGATAAACAGAAGGTTAGTCGAAGTTGATTATTTTTTATCACACTATGAAGAGGTCCACATCCACTGACTAAAGCAGATTGGGATTTGAAGAGAGAGAGAGAGAGAGAGAGAGAGAGAGAGATGTGTATTTGTCGGTTTATACTGACCTTGACGGGGTCCCAGCAGCCAAAGGAGCTGTTATACTTGAAGGACGAGCAGAGCAGCTTGCGAGCCAGGGTATAGCTGATGGGCTGGCACTTGTGGAAGTGGGCCTCCCTGTTGGTGACCAGGGGCTGGACCTTCTGAAGCAGCTGGTAGCGCACGATCCTGGGCTTACGGCCACCGTTAATGGTCACCTTAGGGATCTGGTTTTCATCCAGGAGTTCCTGAACAACAACAAACAACCACATGAGTAAATAAACACATACTAAGATTGGGGGTCTGTGGGAGTGTCATACAATTATATAAAGGAAAGAAAAGGTGCAGGGTGACATAAATGGAAGGCGGGGAGGGAAAAGTATGTCTTCAGTTATGGAGCCTAACCTTCTCTAATCGATAAGATGAAGTTACAGTATAATGCCGTTTTTTAAAAATGCTTTTGTAATTCAACTAAATTACACCTAGTCTTTTATACCTCGTCTTTTATACTCTGCACTGATACCCTGTGTATATAGACAAGCTACCGTTACTCACTGTGTATTTATTCCTTGTGTTATTATTTTTACATTTTTCTCTCTGCATTGTTGGGAAGGACCCGTTAGTAAGCCCGTTAGTAAGCATTTGACCTGTTGTTTACAAAGCATGTGACAAATAAAATGTGATTTGATTTATAATGGCACTTTGGGTTACAAATGTATTATTATTATTATTATAATGCCTCTAAGTACACTAAGGCCTGTTCATAGCAGGACAGTATGTGTGTCTCTGTACCATCATCCTGGTGAAGTTGGTGTCGTCTCTCTCGAAGCGTTCCCCAATCTCCATCTCCAGCCTCTCCTCAGCAGCCGCTTCTGTCTCCTCATCCTCCCCATCATCCTCCTCGTCCAGAGTAAACTCCTCAATCAGTATGGCCTCGATCTCCTCCATCCCCTCCTCCTCATCAAACTCCTCCTGGTCCTCCTCATCCTCCTCATCCTTCACCTGGCACACAGAGAGAGACCGTAAGGAACAGTGGATGACAGAGTACCTACTTATCAGAGTGTAATCATAAACTCTTCCCAAACTAATATAGCACAGACTAATATCAGCCTCAAAGAGTCACAGCATCTGTGTTTGTGACAATGAGGGACTACCTTTGCAGCTGGTTGCTTTGAGGCATGCTCTGCCATGAGCTCAGCCCTCCTCCGGGTGATGGCCTCCTCCTGCATCAACAGAGCGAGATAGAGAGAGAGGAGGGGGGAGGGGGAGAAAGATAGAGAGAGAGAGAGAGGAGGGGGGGATAGAGAGAGAAAGAGAGAGTGTTTTAATATGACCTCTATCACCTACCTTGAGTGTTGAGCCACTCTACTTTCCCCCACCTTCTCCCCCACTTGGCTCCCTGTTCTGAAGCCCAAGTAATCTGCCCTGCTCTCCTCTCACCCGTAGTTTGTGGCGTAGCTCCCTGACTAGTCTCAGCTGTTCTCTCCTGCGGTCACGGCGTTCTCTCCAGCTGGCCAGGCGGGGGGGCAGCAGGCGCTGCACGACGTCTGTCACGTCCACCGTCATGACCACGGCGGCGTCCGGGAATAGCCGGCGCTCCACCATGAAGGACACGTCCTCAGGGTTCTGGGGGAAACCCTCCAGGACGAATCCTTTCGATCTGGGGTAGGGAGGGAGGTAGGAGAGGGAGGGAGGTGCAGCAAATCAGTCAAGTAGGGGAGTCAGTGGGCGAGAGTGCCTTGTGTGTCAAGATGAGTTTGTGTGTGTGTTAGTGAAGTGTCTTAGTACTTGTATGGCTCCTGGTCCCAAAACTGTGGCAGCATCATCTCCAAGATCTCCTGAGGCAGAGGCTCTCCATCAAACAGATAGGACTTAATGGCCTCCTCCTCGTCGCTCAGTCCCACCTCCTGCTAGCAACATACACAGCAACACAGACAGCCCTCCATAGCTTACATTAAATCCCAGGGAAACAAGCTGCAATACTGCAACATAACAACTGTGACATGTGACAGTATCATATCCTTTACCTCTGATGCTGGGGCTTCCTCTGGGCTGTCCTTCCTACTGTTTTTTTCCTCCTTGTCCGTAGAGGGCACTGCTGCCCCTGCCCCTCCCCCTCCCTGTGCCTGCAGCAGAAGGGCCTCCAGGTCCTCAGGGGGATCCTCAGGGGGCTCCACCTCATCAGAGTAGGGTACGCGGGCCTGGGTCTTCCCCAGGATCAGCTCCTGCAGGCACTCCCTGAACTGGATGTGAAAAACCCCCAGTTGCTCCGCCAGCCACTTCCCGTGGGTGGTCTTATCAGAGCCCCGCGTACCCAGCAGGAAGACCCTCAGAGCTGGGGCCTGGGGTGGGGACGGAGGGGGAGGTGGAGAGGAAGAGGGATAGAATATGGGGGTCAAGTGGAATCATTATTTTATCATGGATTCACTTGTCTTAGCTATTTGTCCATTTCAGACATTCATTAATTGAATTGTTCAACAAGTTATCCAGTAGCTCTTACTTCCTCTCTGTTTCTCTCTGTCACTCTTCCACTCTGTTTCTCCCTCCCTCCCTCCCTCGCTGCCTCCCTCCATCCCTCCTCTCCTACCTGCAATAGCTGTATGTGTGAGACGTATGTCTCGGGGCTCAGTAAGAAGCGGTCCCTGGCCTCAGTACTAGAGAAGTAGTAGGCTTTCTCTCTGTACTTGGCAGCATATTCGTCCAGACAGGGGATCAGTGCCCCGTTCTCCTTCAGGGACACGGGACAGAAGTGTTGGGTGTCCCCCATCAGCCTCTTAGACACTGCCTCCTCCTGGACACAGCAGGGAGAGGAGAGAGGGTATGTCATAAAAATGCTACAGAAAAACAGCAGTATGGGATCATGGTAAACAGACATGCACGGGACATTTTTGGTTAGACTACCTATACTGTGAAGTCTGAGGTAATTTTATTTTCAGCTACAGTGCATTTAAATGGCGAATGAGTACAAGAAATGTGTAAGGTCTAAATTGCCAACTACTATAGCACATTAGTGGGTTTCTCCATGTAGGACGTACGTCTGTCTCCTGTTCCTCCTCTTCTTCTGCCTCCTCAGGTTTCTCCAGCTCAGCCAAGGCCTGAGCATCTTCCTCCTCCTCATCCAGGTCTACTCCTGACAGCTCCCAGCCCACGTACTTAAAAGGCTCTTGGGAAAACACACATCAAGGTTATTAGGTACCTAATGTGCCTTTAGAAAGTATTCACCCCCCTTGACTTTTTAAACATTTTGTTGTGTTACAGCCTGAATTTAAAATGGATTCAATTTAGATTTTTTGTTACTGGCCTACACACAATACCCCATAATGTCAAAGTGGAATTATGTTTTTCGAAATTTGTACAAATTAATTAAAAATGAAACACTGAAACGTCTTGAGTCAAAAAGTAGTCAACCCCTTTGTTATGGCATGCCTAAATAAGTTCAGGAGTAAATAAACATTTGCTTAACAAGTAACATAATAGGTTGCATGGACTCACTCTGTGAGCAATAATTGTGTTTAACATGATTTCTGAATGACTACCTCATCTCTGTACCCCACACATACAATTATATGTAAGGTCCCTCAGTCGAGCAGTGAATTTCAAACACAGATTCAATCACAAAGACCAGGGAGGTTTTCCAATGCTTCGCAAAGAAGGGCACCTATTGGAAGATGGGTAACAATAAAAAAGCAGACATTGAATATCCCTTTGAGCATGGTGAAGTTATTAATTACAGTTTGGATGGTGTATCAAAACACCCAGTCACTACAAATATACAGTTGTCCTTCTGTGACACTCTGGCTCTATGGACTTTGAATATTGAGCCAGGGTTGTTCATTTTCATGTGTTTGGGTGTATTTCATTTGGTGGTGTTGGGGATGGGTGAGTTTCATTTTGTTTGTGTTGTGGTGATTGGTCTATGACTCCCAATCGGAGGTAACGAGTGTCAGCTGTCGGCTCGTTATCTCTGATTGGGAGCCATATATATTCTGTGTGTTTTCTCCTTTGTTTTGTGGGTTATTGTTTCCGTGTTGCTGTTAGTCTGTATCAGTATTTGAACTTCACGTATCGTCATTTGTTGTTTTCTTCGTGGTTGCTTTAAATAATAAAGTCATCATGTTCACTCGCAACGCTGCGCATTGGTCCGCTCCTTCAGACGATCGTGACAGAATAACCCACCACAAAAGGACCAAGCAGCGTAACAAGCGTGTCCAGGAGCCGAGGGTCTGGACATGGGAAGAGTTATTGGACGGAAAGGATCCTTGGGCACAACCGGGAGAATATCGCCTCCCTCGTGAAGAGCTGGAGGCAGCCAAAGCCGAGAGGAGGTGGTACGAGGAGGCAGCGCGAAGGCGAGGCTGGAAGCCCGTGGAAGAGAGGCAACCCCAAGAAATTTTTTGGGGGGGGCACATGGCTTGGGCAGCTGGGCAGCAGGAGGCTGCCACAGGGAGAAAAGGAGAGAAGGCTAACGGAGTACGGGAGCCATTGGCGAGTGGAAGGAGGGAAGTTGTTGTGGCACGGCATGAGAGACTGAAGTGTGTTACCAGTCCGGTCCGGCCTGTTCCTGATCCGCAGTTAAGGCCATTGGTGTGTGTTCCCGGTATGGACCGGCCTGTTCCTACTCCACGCACCAGGTCCACGATGTGCGTCGCCAGCCGGCCAGAGTCTGCCGTCTGCCCTAGGGCGTCTGAACTGCCCGTCTGCCAAGCGCTGCATAAGCCGCCCGTCTGTACTGAGCCTGCAAAGCCGTCCGTCTGCCATGAGCCTTCAGAGCCGTCCGCCAGATCGGAGCCGCTAGAGCCTTCCGCCAGACAGGAGCCGCTAGAGCCTGCCGCCAGACAGAATCATACACCTGCTATGGAATCAGCAGGAGCCGACGCAGCCCATACTAGACTGGAAGCTCGGGTTCGGGACCAGAAAGAGCAGCTCCTGCAGATGGGAGCCGCCCTGCTGGAGGTGATGACTGCAATCCGAGGCTGGGGTTCGCCTCCACCGCCAGCCTCCCAGCCAGCACCATCAGCCAGCCATGAGCAGCCAGATCCGTCAGCCAGCCATGAGCAGCCAGATCCGTCAGCCAGCCATGAGCAGCCAGACCCGTCAGCCAGCCATGAGCAGCCAGACCCGTCAGCCAGCCATGAGCAGCCAGATCCGTCAGCCAGCCATGAGCAGCCAGATCCGTCAGCCAGCCATGAGCAGCCAGATCCGTCAGCCAGCCATGAGCAGCCAGATCCGTCAGCCAGCCATGAGCAGCCAGATCCGTCAGCCCGCCATGAGCAGCCAGATCCGTCGTCCAGCCAGGATCCGCCAGAGCCGTCCAGCCTGGATCCGCCAGAGCCGTCCCGCCAGGATCTGCCAGAGCCGTCCAGCCTGGATCCGCCAGAGCAGTCCCGCCAGGATCCGCCAGAGCCGTCCAGCCAGGATCCGCCAGAGCCGTCCAGCCAGGATCCGCCAGAGCCGTCCAGCCAGGATCCGCCAGAGCCGTCCAGCCAGGATCCGCCAGAGCCGTCCAGCCAGGATCCGCCAGAGCCGTCCCGCCAGGATCCGCCAGAGCCGTCCAGCCAGGATCCGCCAGAGCCGTTCAGCCAGGATCCGCCAGAGCCGTCCAGCCAGGATCCGCCAGAGCCGTCTAGCCAGGATCCGCCAGAGCCGTCCAGCCAGGATCCGCCAGAGCCGTCCAGCAAGGATCCGCCAGAGCCGTCCAGCCAGGATCCGCCAGAGCCGTCCAGCCGGGGTCCGCCAGAGCCGTCCAGCCGGGATCCGCCAGAGCCGTCCCGCCGGGATCCGCCAGAGCCGTCCAGCCGGGATCCGCCAGAGCCGTCCAGCCGGGATCCGCCAGAGCCGTCCAGCCGGGATCCGCCAGAGCCGTCCAGCCGGGATCCGCCAGAGCCGTCCAGCCGGGATCCGCCAGAGCCGTCCAGCCGGGATCCGCCAGAGCCGTCCAGCCGGGATCCGACAGAGCCGACCAGCCGGGATCCGCCATTCAGCCTGGTACTGCCCCTTAGTCCGGTGCTGCCCCTTAGTCAGGTACTGTCCCTTAGCCCGGTGCTGCCCCGTAGTCCGGTGCTGCCCCTTAGTCCGGTGCTGCCCCTTAGCCCGGTGCTGCCCCTTGTCCCGGTGCTGCCCCTTATCCCGGTGCTGCCCCTTATCCCGGTGCTGCCCCTTAGGCCGATGCTGCCCCTTAGTCCGGTGTTGCCCCTTAGTCCAGGTGGGGTTAGTTGGAGGGTGGTCATTGGGAGGAAGCTACCGAAGCAGGTTGTGACTGTGGTGGGGTGGGGATCACGACCGGGGCCAGAGCCGCCACCATGGACAGACGCCCACCCAGACCCTCCCCTAGTCCTGATGTTGGTGCGCCCGGAGTTCGCACCTTTAGGGGGGGGTACTGTGACACTCTGGCTCTATGGACTTTGAATATTGAGCCAGGGTTGTTCATTTTCATGTGTTTGGGTGTATTTCATTTGGTGGTGTTGGGGATGGGTGAGTTTCATTTTGTTTGTGTTGTGGTGATTGGTCTATGACTCCCAATCGGAGGTAACGAGTGTCAGCTGTCGGCTCGTTATCTCTGATTGGGAGCCATATATATTCTGTGTGTTTTCTCCTTTGTTTTGTGGGTTATTGTTTCCGTGTTGCTGTTAGTCTGTATCAGTATTTGAACTTCACGTATCGTCATTTGTTGTTTTCTTCGTGGTTGCTTTAAATAATAAAGTCATCATGTTCACTCGCAACGCTGCGCATTGGTCCGCTCCTTCAGACGATCGTGACACCTTCCTAACTCAGTTGCTGGAGAGGAAGGAAACTGCTCACGGATTTCACCGTGAGGTCAATGGTGACTTTAAAACAGTTACAGAGTTTAATGGCTGTGATAGGAGAAAACTGAGGATGGATCAAAAACATTGTAGTTACTCCACAATACGAACCTAATTGACAAAGTGAAAAGAAGGAAGACTGTACAAAATACAAATATTCCAAAACATGCATCCTGTTTGCAACAAGGCACTAAAGTAAAACTGCAAAAAACGTGGCAAAGCAATTAACTTTTTGTCCTGAATACAAAATGTTATGTTTGGGGCAAATCCAATTCAACACATTACTGAGTACCACTCTCCATATTTTCAAGCATAGTTTTGACTGCATCATGTTATGGGTATGCTTGTAATCATTAAGGACTGGGGAGTTTTCCAGGATAAAAAAGAAACGGAATCGAGCTAAGCACAGGAAAAATCCTAGAGGAAAACCTGGTTCAGTCTGCTTTCCACCAGACACTGGGAGATTCATTCACCTTTCAGCAGGCCAAATCAACACTGGTGTTGCTTACAAAGAAGACAGTGAATGTTCCTGAGTGGCTGAGTTACAGTTTTGACTTAAATCTACTTGGTTGTCTAGCAATGATCAACAACCAATTTGACAGAGCTTAATAATGGCCATCTGTTGCACAATCCAGGTGTGGAAAGCTGCCAAAGGTGCTTCTACAATGTATTGACTCAGGGGTTTGAATACTTATGTAAATGAGATATTTCATTTTCAATACATTTGCAAAAATGTCTTTAAACATGTTTTCACTTTGTCATTATGGGCTATTGTGTGATTGTGAGAAGTATGTGACGTATAGGTGAGAATATATATATTTTTGTATCCATTTTGAATTCAGGCTGTAACACAACAAAATGTGGAATAAGTCAAGGACTATGAATACATTCTAAAGGTGCCTTATAACTCTGCCCTGTGCCACACTATTTGACCAAGCCAGTAAAGTCACTTAACCTCAAACACTCACATACTCTCAGTACCCTGACATACTCTCTTTCACCAGCACAAAAAACACACATGTACACACCCTGAGCCCCCCACCCCCTCCGCCCACACACACACCCTGAGCCCTCCACCCCTACCCCCTCCGCCCACACACACACCCTGAGCCCTCCACCCCTACCCCCTCCGCCCACACACACACCCTGAGCCCTCCACCCCTACCCCCTCCGCCCACACACACACCCTGAGCCCTCCACCCCTACCCCCTCCTGCCACACACACACCCTGAGCCCTCCACCCCTACCCCCTCCGCCCACACACACACCCTGAGCCCCCCACCCCCTCCGCCCACACACACACCCTGAGCCCTCCACCCCTACCCCCTCCTCCCACACACACACACCCTGAGCCCCCCACCTCCTCCGCCCCACACACACACCCTGAGCCCCCCACCTCCTCCGCCCACACACACACACCCTGAGCCCCCCACCTCCTCCACCCACACACACATCCTGAGCCCTCCACTCCTAACCCCTCCGCCCACACACACACCCTGAGCCTTCCACCCCTACCCCCTCCGCCCACACACACACCCTGAGCCCTCCACCTCCTCCGCCCACACACACACCCTGAGCCCTCCACCTCCTCCGCCCACACACACACCCTGAGCCCCCCACCTCCTCCGCCCACACACAAACCCTGAGCCCCCCACCTCCTCCGCCCACACACACATCCTGAGCCCTCCACTCCTAACCCCTCCGCCCACACACACACCCTGAGCCCTCCACCCCTACCCCCTCCGCCCACACACACACCCTGAGCCCTCCACCCCCTCCGCCCACACACACACCCTGAGCCCTCCACCCCTACCCCCTCCGCCCACACACACACCCTGAGCCCCCCACCTCCTCCGCCCACACACACATCCTGAGCCCTCCACTCCTAACCCCTCCGCCCACACACACACCCTGAGCCCCCACCTCCTCCGCCCACACACACATCCTGAGCCCTCCACTCCTAACCCCTCCGCCCACACACACACCCTGAGCCCTCCACCCCTACCCCCTCCGCCCACACACACACCCTGAGCCCTCCACCCCTACCCCCTCCGCCCACACACACACCCTGAGCCCCCCACCTCCTCCGCCCACACACACATCCTGAGCCCTCCACTCCTAACCCCTCCGCCCACACACACACCCTGAGCCCCCCAACCCTCCGCCCACACACACTCCCTGAGCCCTCCACCACTATCCCCTCCTGCCACACACACACCCTGAGCCCTCCACCCCTACCCCCTCCGCCCACACACACTCCCTGAGCCCTCCACCACTATCCCCTCCTGCCACACACACACCCTGAGCCCTCCACCCCTACCCCCTCCGCCCACACACACACCCTGAGCCCTCCACCTCCTCCGCCCACACACACACCCTGAGCCCCCCTACCCCCTCCGCCCACACACACACCCTGAGCCCTCCACCTCCTCCGCCCACACACACACCCTGAGCCCCCCACCTCTTCCGCCCACACACACATCCTGAGCCCTCCACTCCTAACCCCTCCGCCCACACACACACCCTGAGCCCCCACCTCCTCCGCCCACACACACATCCTGAGCCCTCCACTCCTAACCCCTCCGCCCACACACACACCCTGAGCCCTCCACCCCTACCCCCTCCGCCCACACACACACCCTGAGCCCTCCACCCCTACCCCCTCCGCCCACACACACACCCTGAGCCCCCCACCTCCTCCGCCCACACACACATCCTGAGCCCTCCACTCCTAACCCCTCCGCCCACACACACACCCTGAGCCCCCCAACCCTCCGCCCACACACACTCCCTGAGCCCTCCACCACTACCCCCTCCTGCCACACACACACCCTGAGCCCTCCACCCCTATCCCCTCCTGCCACACACACACCCTGAGCCCTCCACCCCTATCCCCTCCTGCCACACACACACCCTGAGCCCCCCACCCCCTCCGCCCACACACACACCCTGAGCCCTCCACCCCTATCCCCTCCTGCCACACACACACGCTAGGCTGAAAACTCACTCTCCATGTGGAAGACCATCTCCTGGACCAGGTCCTCAGGGCTCTTGCCAGAGGTCTCCAGTATGTTGTAGCTGCCTGTGATAGAGGACTCCATGCTCTCCCAGTCCATCACAAACTGCTTCAGCTGCAGCTTGAATGGGTTCATTTCTGGACCGTCTGGATAGCCTCTATTCCACACTGCAGGCAGAGTCACCTCTAGAGAGAGAGAGAGAGAGAGAGAGAGAGAGAGAGAGAGAGAGAGAGAGAGAGAGAGAGAGCAATGGATGGATGGATGGAAGCAGGTGGCACTTTACATCAGATATATAATCATCATCATAATAACACAAAACAAAAACATGTTTTCACATTGCTCAGATGGCCGTTGATCAGTCTCACCTCCACCTTTTATGCTGACGGTAGGTGGGCTTTTGTCAGCATCGTCTGCATCAGATTTGGCAGAGGCTTCTGCAAAGCAAATTAAGAGGATACATAGTAGATAGATATGAGTATACAAAAGCTGTGATCACAGAAGGCAGCATGATGTGAGAAGCATACCAGTAAGTCATGTTTTTGAGGATCGAGATCGAGAATGACAACATTTAGTTAAAATGGAACAGTACCCTCTGCCTCCTCTTGCACTGCCTCCAGTTTGGCTTGAGGATCTGTTGGCTTAAGATCCTCCTCTGTGTCCTGCTGCATACGGTTTCTACAGAAGGCCACAAAAACACATACAGCAAGATGAAACTGACTAACCCAACCATCCATGTTGGCGCCAACAATGGAGAGGACCAACACATCATTCCCCCTCCATTTCGGCTCTACTCACAAGGCATCTTGAGCCTCCTGGGCCTTCTGTTTCTGCTGTTCTTCAAGCCTCTTGATTACCTTGTCAACCTCCTCCCTGTTCTGTTCATACATCCTCTTCAATACTACCCTACCTGCAACGGAAATATTCTACATTTGTATGGAACTACAAATATGTCAGTCTTCAGATTAATAATCCATAGGCATTACTAATGACAGTACTATTTGTTGTTGTGAGTTGTAGTTTCTCCCACCTTCCCCATCATTGTCTTTCAGGCAGAACAGGATATCGGGCATGATCCCATCGTGGAGATCCTGAATGGTTGCCAACTGGGACCTGTTCCTGGGAAAGTTGTCCAGCACCCACCCTCTCCTGATCTCCGAGTCTGCATCGGCCATCTCAATCTGGAATATTCATTTGATAGAGAACATCACTGCCAACAAGGCATAGCTTTTTCAATTTGGAAGGATACTGTGAACTTTCAGCTATTTCATCTTCATGGTAATTTACTTGACTTCAGACGAACCTCTCTGATGTGATTCTCCAGCACCTCTGCATACAGGTCCAGAGAGGGCGGGGTTACAACCTGCTCCGCCTCCTTTAAAGCCTCTTCCACGATGGCCTGTACATCTGGGTGCTCCTCTGTCACCTCCATCATCACTGTATCCCAGCAACAACAACAACAACGACACTTCAGCAGACAGTCAAACAGAGTAGGGTGACATGTAGGGTGAGTGTATGGTTGTGTTGCTCACCTTCCTCAGTCTTTTCACTCAAGGAGTGGGTCGTGGATGTCTCTGTGGGATGACATCAGAATCACCAGTTAGACTAAATGTGTCTGTCTATTAGGCAGAAATTATCTGTCTGTTGGTTAGAGTCTGATTTACTCACCTGAATCATTGTCATCAGACTCCTCCTCACTGATGTTGGATCTCATGTTTACTGCAGGAAATACACATTTTATTACATTTGACTAAATGCTCATACTATAAATGATTTGCAGGTGAGAGGACAACACAAGAAACAGAGCAAAGGATTGATACACTTTTTCACCATGTAATCATCATCATCATCACCATAATCATCCCATCACTCACTGGACCCGTGGGTGGCGTCCAGTTCCATCTTGACCTTGACCCTCTCGATGGCCATGAGGGTGGAGTCTCTCTTGACCTTCTCCAGCATGTCTTGTTTGACCTTGGCGATGACTGGCTTCATCAAGACCTCCATGTCCACCACCTCTGCTCCGTAGTGCTGGGCCAGTAGGGTACACAGCGTGCTCTTCCCTGCACACGGAGGCCCGATCACAGACACCTTGCAGGGCGGCCGCGGCATGGGGGGCAGGAGGTACCGCCGCGGGTTCAGCATGAACTTCCCCAAGGCCTCCTGGGACGACAGGATGTAGATTTTGTCCATGAACCTGAAGGGGAGAGGGGAAGGAGAGTTAATGGCTGGAATGTGTAGACACAAACAACAGAGACATGCACACACACACTTTCCCTCACTCACTCACTCACTCACTCACTCACTCACTCACCCCACAGTGAACTCGGGTTTGCCCTTGATGATCTTGCCTTCCTTCAGGGCCACAGGGCAGGCTCTACACCAGCGACTCCTCCTCCACCTAAACCCAGGGGCCACTGTCTTAGAGGAAGACATGGTACGCAACATCTCATCCTGAAATAGGACATCAGCACAGACAGTCAATGCCAGTTACTATCCCATAGCATTGCGCTACCATAACCTGTTAACATTGTGCTAGCTAGCTACACTGCATGCTGCTCAAGGACCATTGACTAATCTTACAATAATAGATCTGTTTAGTGTTTTCCACACAAACAGTAGCATAAGCGAGAGGAAGTAGCATGTCTGACCGTGTCAATCTCATCAGGCAGCTCTTCCTCGTCGATCTGGAGCAGCCGAAGTGGGACAGCAACCCTCCTCACTGCCATGGACTCCAGACGGGACAGCACTGACTACACCAGGGCCAAAACCATAAACAACCACCTCGTCAACCAGCAATTAAAACAAGGAAGTCAGTCTTTACCTACATTGACCGTCACTGTGGTTAGTTGTAGAATGGATAATAAAATCGCAGCCAACTCAATGGTTTTCAATGTGACTAATGTATTGACAGAGGGCTAAGGGTTGCGTTGCTTATTCCCTGAGAAAGGGAAACCCTCTTTCCAAGAACCCCCTCTGATCTCACCATGAACAGCTCCTCAGGGTTTTTATTCCCATCCAGCTCAAACAGGTGCAGGGAAGCATGGTCTGCCATGTAGTCCTGGAAACAAACAGCTTGTCAAACAGCTTGTCGGTAGCCATGACAGTTAATCAGAACAGAGAACTGTGTCCATCTAGCAATACACTACATCTCTATCACTGATCAAGATAGAACACTTGATGATGAGTCAACAAAGTGAATGGAGTTGTTGTCAGGAGTTCGCAGCCATTTTAGGTGTGTCCTCCTCAGGCCTCAGTAGGCTCACCTCTAGAGGTCTGAGAATGGTGTCCTTGTAGAGGAGGACCCTGCGGTAGGCGTTCTCTGGGAAGTTCTCCTGTGCTCGCACCAGCTGGGTAATCATGTCCTTCTGCAGCTCGTGCTCCTCCACCTGATCAACAAATAAGCAACCAACTAAGTAAACAAACTAACAAACAAATCACATAGAATAGAGTATAACAACATCTCCAATAAGGGTAGTATCAATCTGTTCACGATTGGCTGCACCTCCTCCTCTGCCTCCTCCAGCACCTCTTCCTCCTCGTCCCCCTCGTCCTCGTCTGTCTCACTCCTTTTCTTGGTGGTCTCTTTCTTCACAAGGTCCCACTGCTCCCTGAGGAACACCCTGCCTGTCTGGGGGTGCTGCCTCTGGCCCGCCAGGCGGTGGATCAGGTCCCTGTCCGCACACTGGGGATGGAACAGTTCAATAGAAAGAGTGGATGGAAAAGTTCAACGCAATGAGGATACTTCAGGCGGGGGACAGTTTCAGGATGTTACTCTTATTTCACGGTCAATGGTATAGTGTAGTGTAATGGGCGTAACTAGCTGTAAAAATGTGGTTGTGTCTTGTTAATCCAGCACAAGGCACAGTAAGCTAACTCAAGGGAGAAGAAGATAACCTTGATGTTTATGATGAAATCGGGCACCAGTCTCAGGTTCTTGATGAACTCAATCTGCTCCAGTATCTTCAGGTACTCCTCTGACATGGAGGGCAAGCAGCTCAGCACATAACCTGCCATACAACACAATACTGACATTTTCCTGAAACTGCACACACTTCAAACATACACAAAACATGCAGCACTGTGTTGAATCTAGTGAGTATTATGTAGTTAGGGAACAACAAAAACAATGTGAGGATAAGGCTAGCAAAATTAGTTGAATTACCGTAGTGCTCGACCTCTGGTGACTTGAGCCTGTCCAGAATCAGCTGGACCACCATCTCTTCAGAGATACTTTTCCCTTCATTCAGAATCTCGAGAAGCTGAAACCATAAGATAGGTAGTTGAAAAGTAATTAATGTAAATCTGCTACTATACTATACAGCAAATTGAGGCTGCACAGTGGCAACTCACCTCTACTCCTTGCGCTCTTTGATCATTGATGTGTTGGTTGAGCAATTCTGTATCTGAAATTAATGTATAAAGATGTTTAGATACAGAAAAAGAGAACAGGGCATGATATTAGGAATATAAAAACAGATTGAGATAGATAAGGAATATTTACCATCAATCAAGACACACTTCCAGGACTGAGCTAATTTTGTGGCAAGAGTAGATTTGCCAACCCCCTGTATAGAATAAGAATACAGTAGGTCAGTGTGTGTGTGTGTGTGTGTGTGTGTGTGTGTGTGTGTGTGTGTGTCTGTGCCTGTGCCTGTGTGTGTGTAAACAATACTGATAACTCACTGGCTTCCCAATAATGATGAAGCAGGTGGGTTTGGCAAGAAGAAACTCAATCTCAGCTTCATCCTCAATGAGGTTGTCAACATAAGTGTTCATGACTGGGGTTTCTAGAACATTTGATGATACTTTCTCTGAAATATGCAAAGACAAACAGCCATGAAAGAATGTTATCATTTCAAGCAGCTGACAAGCAGCTGACAATGCTGTTGTAACTAACTGTCACAGGCAAACTCTAAACTGTTAGCTAACGTTAGTTTAGCCAATTTTGAACACCCCTTGTACTACCTAGCAAGTGAGTGGTTTAATAATACTGCAACGACGTAAGCTAGCTAGCCACATTTGAAATTACATTTTACTTACCGTTAAATAAATTTGCCATCTGTTTTATTAGCTACTCAAAACAAGTTAGCCATGGTTATGTGCCTGTTTACCATCTCATTTTCTCATACCTCAACTTTGTTGAGCGAGCGTAACCATAGTAACCCGAGCTAGTACAAGGACTTTTTAAATCGCTTTATATCTCGTCCTTTTTGACCGTGTGAGGACCCGTCTCAGCTGAAGGTCGTGACAGTCACCTGATCGAAACAAACGCATGATCAGGGAAGTGCATGGCAAATTAATTTGCTTTTCTGTCTTTAGCAGTGCTATCATATCAGGTTTTTGATTGAGAACGGTTTGAAACAACATCTTAAGGAGCAGTTTAACATGCCTCGTATCAGCTAACGACATTTGGTGAGTCATACTGTAGCGCTATGTTGTCAAACAGGCCAACCTGGGGTGTAATCATTACGCCGATTCTGTTGCAAAACGTTTCGCAGAAAACCGTTTACTCCAAACGGAAAACGCAAACGAGAGTTTCTATTGGACAACTTCAGGTCGGTCTCTCCCCGTTATGTTTGCTCTATTTGCTTTCGTTTGGTTCTTATACGGTAAACGGTTTCCTTAATGAATACACCCCCTATCTTACTGACAGTAACAATGTCAGCTAGTTACAAAGTTTCCACTTTATAGCAGTCATATTTAATGCAACAGACATGTTGCTTGCTTATAACTTTGTTGCGTATTCTGTTTGTCAATTGAATTGAAGTTGACATCCTCGAATCTCTCTAAGTCCTTCCCCAGTGTGAACTCCACAGAAAGCAGCTGGCAGTCTCGTCCATCGAGTCTGTGAAGTTGGTCTTCGTCAAATCTTCACCATGCCTCTGTCAGCAGCCGTCATCAGTGGAGTGCAGAATTTGGTTCTGTACGAAACTAGAGCCGTACGTTTCACAGTATTTCCCCTAGACTTGATGAATGCATTATCTTCTCGAACATAGGCTGGAGGAAGCCTTCCATCCATTTGCGCATAATGCAATGCATAGCTTATTTCTTAACACATGAAGTATAGGGTTGGTATGTCCATATTACACTGTCTGAACTGTCATTTATAAACTATTACAAGGTGTTGGATATTTAGTCAAACGATTGCATTCAAGATCTCAAATGGAAAACGGTATTTTTAGTAGACCATTTGCTCATCATGTCTTATGTTATGACCTATTGTTTATAGTACATTAACACTAGATGGCAGTATGGGCACTGGCATAACGCAGTTTCTCTGGACCTCCGCAAGGTCGGAGTTCGATTACCGATTGCTGTCCATGGCGCTGAAATAGCGACTTGTCTGTGCGGCTGCATGCCTATCGAATCGAAGATAGGCTTTCTGTGCTGCCAGGTCTTAGCTTTGCTTTAAATAATGGATAAATGTTTATTGGTAGGCTTCTTTGGTCGTCATTTTCTCATGTTAAGCCTAACATTTCACGAAGCTATACACGGTGTCGCAATGCTACCAATTTTTAACTGCTGACTGGTGGCAATAATGTAATACTTGTTCAGTAATTTAAAGTTGGAAATTCAAACATTGCAGATTGTAAAATAAATGTTAGCTGCAACAGCATACTAATCAGCTACCAATATATATTTTGTGTATATATATATATATATATATCTGTCCTGTATAGGCTACCTGAATCTTTGAATCTTTGTTGTGCATAAAACCAGTCTATTAATGCCAAATAATAGTCAGTCCACCCTTTCATTATGCAGTGTACTATATATAGCTAAATACTGTATCTAGCTGCTATTAATACACTTTATTTTATTATTGCACATAAAATAGCCAAACAAAATGGAAAAAAGTAGTCGGCTTGAGGATAAATTCAGCCGCTATTACAGTTGAAGTCGGAAGTTTACATAGGGGGGAGAGAGAGAGAGAGAGAGAACGGATTGGATTTTACTACTTCAAGTGGGATATAATGGTCCACTGGGCTCTGAGTATGTCAGGAATGACTTGTGAGCTCATTTAAAAAAGGATAAAAACCAAAACACCATATATTTTGTAAGTGTGTGTTCCAAGTTTTAATGTCACATACAGAAGTACAGTGAAAAGCCTTTCTTGCCAGCTCTAACCTCAACAATGCAGTAATCACAACAATGTAATTAACAAAATAACAAGGTAGAAAAAAAACACACAAGATATAAAAATAAGAAATAAGAAGAACACGATAAAGTAAGTAAGAATACTATATACAGGGTCAGTTCCAGTACTATATTTACAATGTGCCGGTCTGCCGGGATACTGGATCGATAGAGGTAGATATGTATAGGGGTAAGGTGGCATCGGGATATATAATAAACAGTAGTGTATAATGTGTAGAGTCAGTATAAATGTACAGTTGAAGTCGGAAGTTTACATACACTTAGGTTGGAGTCATTAAAACTTGTTTTTCAACCACTCCACAAATGTATTGTTAACAAACTATAGTTTTGGCAAGTCGGTTAGGACATCTACATTGTGCATGACACAAGTAATTTTTCCAACAATTGTTTACAGACAGATTATTTCACTTATAATTCACTGTATCACAATTCCAGTGGGTCAGAAGTTTACATACACTAAGTTGACTGTGCCTTTAAACAGCTTGGAAAATTCCAGAAAATGATGTCATGGCTTTAGAAGCTTCTGATAGGCTAATTGACATCATTTGAGTCAATTGGAGGTGTACCTGTGGATGTATTTCAAGGCCTACCTTCAAACTCAGTGCCTCTTTGCTTGACATCATGGGAAAAATCAAAATAAATCAGCCAAGACCTCAGAAAATAAATTGTAGACCTCCACAAGTCTGGTTCATCCTTGGAAGCAATTTCCAAACACCTGAAGGTACCACGTTCATCTGTGCAAACAATAGTACGCAATTATAAACACCATGGGACCACGCAGCCGTCATACCACTCAGGAAGGAGACGCGTTCTGTCTCCTAGAGATGAACGTACTTTGGTGCGACAAGTGCAAATCAATCCCAGAACAACAGCAAAGGACCTTGTGAAGATGCTGGAGGAAACAGGTACCAAAGTATCTATATCCACAGTAAAATGAGTCCTATATTGACATAACCTGAAAGGCCGCTCAGCAAGGAAGAAGCCACTGCTCCAAAACTGCCATAAAAAAGCCAGACTACAGTTTGCAACTGCACTTGGGGACAAAGATCGTACTTTTTGGAGAAATGTCCTCTGGTCTGATGAAACAAAAATAGAAGTATTTGGCCATAATGACCATTGTTATGTTTGGAGTAAAAAGGGGGATGCTTGCAAGCCGAAGAACACCATCCCAACCGTGAAGCACGGGGTGGCAGCATTATGCTGTGGGGGTGCTTTGCTGCAGGAGGGACTGGTGCACTTCACAAAATAGATGGCATCATGAGGAAGGAAAATTATGTGGATATATTGAAGCAATATCTCAAGACATCAGTCAGGAAGTTAAAGCTTGGTCGCAAATGGGCCTTCCAAATGGACAATGACCCCAAGCATACTTCCAAAGTTGTGGCAAAATGGCTTAAGGACAACAAAGTCAAGGTATTGGAGTGGCCATCACAAAGCCCTGACCTCAATCCTTTAGAAAATTTGTGGGCAGAACTGAAAAAGTGTGTGCGAGCAAGGAAGCTTACAAACCTGACTCAGTTACACCAGCTCTGTCAGGAGGAATGGGCCAAAATTCACCCAACTTATTGTGGGAAGCTTGTGAAAGGCTACCTGAAACGTTTGACCCAAGTTAAACAATTTAAAGTCAATGCTACCAAATACTAATTGAGTGTACAGTGAGGGGAAAAAAGTATTTGATCCCCTGCTGATTTTGTACGTTTGCCCACTGACAAAGAAATGATCAGTCTATAATTTTAATGGTAGGTTTATTTGAACAGTGAGAGACAGAATAACAACAAGAAAATCCAGAAAAACGCATGTCAAAAATTTTATAAATAGATTTGCATTTTAATGAGGGAAATAAGTATTTGACCCCCTCTCAATCAGAAAGATTTCTGGCTCCCAGGTGTCTTTTATACAGGTAACGAGCTGAGATTAGGAGCACACTCTTAAAGGGAGTGCTCCTAATCTCAGTTTGTTACCTGTATAAAAGACACCTGTCCACAGAAGCAATCAATCAATCAGATTCCAAACTCTCCACCATGGCCAAGACCAAAGAGCTCTCCAAGGATGTCAGGGACAAGATTGTAGACCTACACAAGGCTGGAATGGGCTACAAGACCATCGCCAAGCAGCTTGTATTTGGCTAAGGTGTATGTAAACTTTCAACTGTAATTGTTGAACTCAGTGGGGTTTGTCCGGCTAATAGCCTACACAAATGGGCTGCAATATTCAAGGTAAATTAAATCAAATTAGATTCAAATTGAGAGACTCCCCTGGTGTCCTGAGTCCTCCTTTTTTGAGTGCCAATGTTTTCACCATGGCCTTTAGGTCCAGGTTGCGGGCCCGACTGTTTTCTATACTGAGTTTTGCCAACCCAGAAAGTCTTTCCTGAGACATTGTGCATTATATGTCCATGGCGCTGCACACAATTTAAACGTAGTCTTGAATGATGCATGCCAAGATATACCAGAGATAAGGGACTGTTGATATTGCAACCACACAACTCAAATGCCGGTTCACCAGTATGAACTAAATTGCAAAAAGCTTTTTTTTGTTCAAGTCCTCAAGAACTGTTGTCTGCTAAAGATTATAATCTGCCAGCAATTAAGGAGAATGAGAAGCTTGATTTAAAGATGTTACAGAACTGCTGTATTTGAAGCACAACTCCCTTCTGCCCAGTTTCCCTGATGTTGTTATGGCAATTAAGCTGTTTTTACCATCCCTGTAGCTCTCGCGTCTTCAGAGAAATTGTTTTCTACTTTAAAAAATCGTAAAGAACGACCTAAAAAGCATTAAGCTTTTGGTCTGATATGCGCTTTTGAACACACTCATTGCACTGGGGCCGTCGTAGCCTTAACAACGGCATTTATTCACTGATATGCCCTCATACTTTCGATCAGTTTCTTTCTTCTTTTTCACTTTTTCAGTCACATTCCTGAAGCCCAAGAAACAGAATCATAGCTTCCTTGTACATATGGAAATGAAAAAGGTTTATTATTTACTACTTTTTAGAGGATTACTGTCAGTGCCCCCCCTGCCTTGTGGGTGCTGCGGGGGTGTCTGGTACGCCAGTATGGGTAAGAGTATGTTGTAGCATCTAAACATATACATTTTTACAACATGAAGTTACTTGCTGCTGCATTCAGAAGATGGACACAGATGGGTCCTCACACTAAAACAACTGATAATCTGATCAACTTGATTTGTTGAATCAGAAGTGTTAATGCTGGGCTGGAACAAAAGCGCGCAAATGCTATGGGTCTCAGCAGGACGGCCTAGGATTGAGAAACACGTTTTGTAAAGAGCCAGAATTTATTACATTGTAACAGTTTCAGTTCAGCCCTGCCCCTTTCATTGGCTCACTGATGTTCAGACATTAGCAACACAGAGGTGTAGATGAGAGGGAGAACAGGACAGCATTAACTCCGTTCCAGACTGTATTCTCAACGTGTTCATACTGGACGTCCCCACATCAAATCTCACACCAATATAGAGACACATAAGGGTTGGAAGAAAGACACTCCTATAGCATCTTAATTGTGTTAGTGAGAAAAGTCCTGCATGAAAAAGAAAAGCATGTCTTGTATTAAACACAGTTTCTAAATAGTACTTTTCTCTCATCCGACATCTTCTATGGACCAAAGCACTGCTTTCATCTCACTGTTGAGTGAGGCTCAATGTTTCATCCATGATGTACTTTAATGTGTAATGTAATCACATCCTTTAATGTGTTCTTTGATTCCAGAGGTATTTTCTTGTGGGAAGCAATCACGCCCAAACCAAACATCGTGTTCTGAAAATCGATCGCACTGAGCCCAAGGACCTGGCGATTATTGATGATAAGGTGAGTTGCTGCACGCCAAACCCCTGCTTTAGAGTAGCGCCGACCGTTGCCCTTGTTATACAGCATGCCTCAGGAAAAATGGTGTGATCAGTCACCTGGTCCTAAGTGTGCATGGGTGACAGATTTGCTGATGAAGGTTTAAGAGACTACTATACATTATCACTCCTCCCCTGCAGTCAGTCATTACCACGGTGTATGAGAGTGGAGGAGATTTGTTTGTTCTCATCAGAATGATAAGGATTCTGATTGGTTTGTTATTATTGTACAGAGTCCACTGGTGAGCTCCCTTTGCATCCATCATCATCCTCCCATCCATTCCTGTAGATCAGGGGTTCCCAAACCTTTTCCACTCGGGGGGGCCCCCCTTTCAGCATTGGGGAACATCCCGCACCCCCCCTATGCGCATGTGCCACCTCTATTTCTATGGGCACAAGCACTATTCACGATAAACTGTTCACACCCCTCTTGTTTTTGGAGAGAATTTTGCAGATTTGAAAGCTTATTTCCTGTAATTCTACACATTTTGTCATGGGGTGCAAAGAACATTTTGCAGTTTTAAAGCTAATTGTCTTGCAATTCTATACATGCTGCCTAATGTATATTCAAGTGATAGGCTTTAATATCTACAGCAGTGGTTCCCAAACTGTGGGGCGCACTGTGTGCTGTCTGCGACGTTATGTTGTGATCACAGCAGAATGAACATTTTATAAATGTTTTTCAGTGTTCTGAAATCCAAAAGCTAGCACAGAAAAACAAATATTGACCAAAGCCGGGGCTTAGTCCCCAGATGTCAATGGGATGTACTGTTTCTACTGCTTGCACCTGTCTCAGCCAGAAGCTCAGTTTTAAAGAATCCAGAAGCACACTATTAACAATACGTTCCCTCTTGTCCCCAGCATGTCTACAACCAGCAGGAGGTGAGAGAGCTCCTGGGACGTCTGGATCTGGGCAACCGCACCAAGATGAGCCAGAAGGGCTCCTCAGGCCTGTCAAGAGCTGTGTCAGCCTACGGCATCGTGGGTAAGATGGTCCTCCTTGGACCCTCAATCCTCACAACTTCTTCTCCTCTACCAGTTGCCATAGGAATGGCCATGAGCCTGTCGGGCATGTCTTGTCTAGTGAGTACTGTACATGAGGGTTTTTTCTGAGATGTGTAGGCTAGTAGGACTGAGGTAAGGAGAGCTGATCCTGAAGCAGTCGTTAAGGGCAAAAAGTATGTTTTCTGTCCCCGTGTTGCTGTGGGAACCAGCTTTGGAGGGTTCAGAGATATTATAGAGTTAGTGCTCCTGGCAGGGAGTTAGTGCTCCTGGCAGGGAGTTAGTGCTCCTGGCAGGGAGTTAGTGCTCCTAGCAGGCTCTTTTTTATAAGAGGCTAATCAATGCAGTCACTTGTTTTGGTTTAACTAATTGATCAAATAAAGGCTTAAAGGCGTAATCCAACCCCATTCAAATATATTTCTGGCCATAGTCTCTATGCCTGTTTCTACTCTCATCAGCACACGACACTACCTGATCTCTCAAGGCCTTCAGTGGCCCACTTGAAGTTTGACAATAACCAACTTCCTGCTAGACCAGTTTTGTTACTTAATTTCTAATTTTGGTGTCTGAACCTGAGATAAAACAAGATGTATTTTTCCCTGGGAAAAATGAAGCATCTCAAGGTGAAATGGCTGCTAATGTGAGGTTTTGATGATCTTGCTAGTAGAAATGTCAAGCTTTGAGATCAAGGTCACACTGAACGGAGGGGAGAAGTGAAGAAGGGATCCTGAGAGGGGAGCGTCACACAGCCTAATTATCCGTCTGTCTCGTTTCTGTTCACACACACACACTCACACTCTCACACACACACATTTATTTGGAGGTTGAGTCGGATGACATTCAGTAGTTTCAATCTTCTTCTTTTTATATTTTTTTATATTAAATGCACTATGCATTATGTGGGTTGAATGCTGTAACAACACAGAATAAAACAATTAATAAAAGTCCCATGATGGTAGTGACTTCCCATTACTGCTTAACACTTATTAACCATTTATTCACATTACTTTACTTTAATAAAATAGTTCAGTTGTTGTGTGTATTACATTTGTTTTATTTGCTGACTTTATTATTTCATTCCAAGTCATCATCTCCTCTCTAAAACTGCTGCCTATGCTGTCTGACAAAATCACTATTTTAGTAGTTCTTCAAAGTAAATAAGGCTTACTCCTGAATACCAACTATCAATCACTTAGATCATATGTTTCAAACTCATTCCACAGAGGGCAGAGTGTCTGCAGGTTTTTGCTCCTCCCAGCAGACACTAGGCCGTCTATGGAATGCGTTTGACACCCCTGACTTAGAGCATGTATTTTCAGGTATATACAGTGAGGGGAAAAAAGTATTTGATCCCCTGCTGATTTTGTACGTTTACCCACTGACAAAGACATGATCAGTCTATAATTTTAATGGTAGGTTTATTTGAACAGTGAGAGACAGAATAACAACAACAAAATCCGGAAAAACGCATGTCAAAAATGTTATAAATTGATTTGCATTTGAGGGAAATAAGTATTTGACCCCTCTGCAAAACATGATTTAGTACTTGGTGACAAAACCCTTGTTGGCAATCACAGAGGTCAGATGTTTCTTGTAGTTGGCCACCAGGTTTGCACACATCTCAGGAGGGATTTTGTTCCACTCCTCTTTGCAGATCTTCTCCAAGTCATTAAGGTTTCGAGGCTGACGTTTGGCAACTCGAACCTTCAGCTCCCTCCACAGATTTTCTATGGGATTAAGGTCTGGAGACTGGCTAGGCCACTCCAGGACCTTAATGTGCTTCTTCTTGAGCCACTCCTTTGTTGCCTTGGCCGTGTGTTTTGGGTCATTGTCATGCTGGAATACCCATCCAGGACCCATTTTCAATGCCCTGGCTAAGGGAAGGAGGTTCTCACCCAAGATAGGACGGTACATGGCCCCGTCCATCGTCCCTTTGATGCGGTGAAGTTGTCCTGTCCCCTTAGCAGAAAAACACCCCCAAAGCATAATGTTTCCACCTCTATGTTTGACGGTGGTGATGGTGTTCTTGGGGTCATAGGCAGCATTCCTCCTCCTCCAAACACGGCGAGTTGAGTTGATGCCAAAGAGCTCCATTTTGGTCTCATCTGACCACAACACTTTCACCCAGTTCTCCTCTGAATCATTCAGATGTTCATTGGCAAACTTCAGACGGCCCTGTATATGTGCTTTCTTGAGCAGGGGGATCTTGCGGCCGCTGCAGGATTTCAGTCCTTCACGGCGTAGTGTGAGATCTTGCATGGAGCCCCAGGCCGAGGGAGATTGACAGTTCTTATGTGTTTCTTCCATTTGCGAATAATCGCACCAACTGTTGTCACCTTCTCACCAAGCTGCTTGGCGATGGTCTTGTAGCCCATTCCAGCCTTGTGTAGGTCTACAATCTTGTCCCTGACATCCTTGGAGAGCTCTTTGGTCTTGGCTATGGTGGAGAGTTTGGAATCTGATTGATTGATTGATTGCTTCTGTGGACAGGTGTCTTTTATACAGGTAACAAGCTGAGATTAGGAGCACTCCCTTTAAGAGTGTGCTCCTAATCTCAGCTCGTTACCTGTATAAAAGACACCTGGGAGCCAGAAATCTTTCTGATTGAGAGGAGGTCAAATACTTATTTCCCTCCATTAAAATGCAAATCAATTTATAACATTTATGACATGCGTTTTTCAGGATTTCTTTGTTGTTATTCTGTCTCTCACTGTTCAAATAAACCTACCATTAAAATTATAGACTGATCATTTCTTTGTCAGTGGGCAAACGTTCAAAATCAGCAGGGGATCAAATACTTTTTTCCCTCACGGTACCTCAAGAAGCAACTGCTCTCAATGTAGGTCTATCCCTTTTGCTCAGGCATTTAACTGCCTTTATGTCGCAGGCATAAAAGAAACACAGACCGGACAAGGCGTGCAATGGATTATGGTCATTGTAGTTAATTATCACGTTTTCTGCGCTACACTGTGTAGAACATTGGCCTGTTGGAAACTACAACTCCCTACTACATCGCACAATTCGGGCATTAACTATTTTATCTCTAGAGAATCTGCAACGCAATCTGCGCATTGTGAATTGGAATTAAAATAATTGAACTGACATCAGTCAATTAGTTGTTTAAAAACAGAAAAAGAACCAACTTTTCGGTTAATTGCTCAGCACTCATTTTGTTTAAAGTTTTAAAGTTTAACGTTTAAACATTCACTCAGACTATTTTTCTTGCTGAAATTGACTATCACTGCAATGATTGAGGTAACACGGCATGAAGTGGCCTACAGAGAAACATCTCTTGGAACTCATCTGTATTGAGCTTGATGGTGATGTAGAGCAGGGGTTCTCGAACCTTTTCACTCAGGCCCCCCTTCCAGCATTGGACGAATAGCTCTCTAAGGTATGCATTGACTGACATGGCAAGAGGAAAACTGATGATGCACTACCCAATTTCGAAATTGTGCATTCTACTACAACTTTCAAGAGTAAGTTGAAAGCCGGACTGAGTTCAGTTTGGGAACCACTGATCTATCAATAATAAGCTCTCAGAGAACATCTATTCTGCTTCTCTGTGAAGCAGTATATCTCTGTGTATTACAGTAGGGAATACACATTCCAGGACTGAAACCATATTATTTTGTAATCGAAAATATGATTTAAAGAAAAGCTTTGAAGGTGATAATGAATTATGTAAGGCCGATGAACAGGCTGTGAGTGTGTCGTGGTCATTCAGCATGAAAAACAAGTGGTCTCATCTATCATGAAGAAACATGCCCCCACACACACAGAGATAGGCACTCATTTGATTGTTGAGATGAGAATAGATACTGTACATAGACATATGAAAATGTGGCCTGAAAAGGTTCATGTTAAAAGTTGTATAAGTTATCTGGGTGCTTTAAGATGTCCTACAGTAATACTAGTCTTATTTGTGCTGTTCATGTGTATTCATTGTCCTGGTCTTGCAGGTTTTGTCCGATTCCTTGAGGGTTATTACATCGTCTTGATCACAAAGCGGAGGAAGATGGCCGACATTGGTGGTCACTCCATATACAAGATAGAGGATACCAACATGATCTACATCCCCAATGATTCAGTGAGGGTGACGCATCCTGACGAGGCCAGGTACAGTACGTTGACAGTTATACACCCCACTGGAGATTTTCTCTCAATTCATACACACTCACACACACACACACAGTGTGACGGCTTCACTGACCCACTAACCAAGTTTGATCAGCTAAGGGTCACTCAGTATATGGGTCTATATAACCTGCCGTGCACAGCAAATGAATATGGCATTTTCTAGTCTCACCTTTTAATTGAGATGAGAAGGTAACATGTATGATGTTATATCTCAAAGACTAGGACTGTTTACTATGTGACCTGACAACTCCGGTGATGTGACTGTGGTGATGCGACAGGAAAAACTCCTGCCACTAGTATTAGGGGTTCTGACTATGTGGAATACAGCTATGACCGGAAGTGACTTTTTCAAAGCAGGTTAGGAGAACTTAAGCAGCCGGTCAGAAGAATTAACGTGACAGGTTAGGAGAATTAGGTTAACGTTAGGAAAGGGTTAGGGTTAGCTAAAATGCTCTCCTAACCTGCTACGAAAAGTCAGTTCCGGTCGTAGCTGTACTCCATCTAGTCACAACCTGTATTATGTAATTGATGCAGGTAATAACCATAAGAGATTGGGACTGTTTATTTCTCCTCTTGTAGATACGTAAGGATCTTTCAGAATGTGGACCTGTCCAGTAATTTCTACTTTAGGTAAGCGTGTGTGTGAGATCTTTAAAAATCCCACTCCTCCTCATCTCTCTTCTGTTGTTTGTCAAGCCAATGCTCTTGTTTGTCACACGTCTTTGTGGTCACGAGGCTCAGGTGTTTGGTGCAGTATTGAACCTGTCAGACAAACTCTATTCACAGTTCTTCACTTTTTTTGTCTGCACTTCTCTGATGTCTGCGCTTCTGTCATTACAAATTACAGGCCTCTCTCATCTTTTTAAGTGGGAGAACTTGCACAATTGGTGGCTGACTAAATACTTTTTTTCCCCACTGTACCATCTAAAGCCCACTGTAGCAGTAGCTGTACTTTAGGTTAACCTGTACTGAAAGGGTCTGTATTGACATAGTGTAGTCACGACTCGCTCCACAGATTACCTTCTATTAGTTCTCACTCAGACTTGTTGTCAAGCTGGTCATTTTTCTCCCTAGCGACAGGGGAAGATTCATTTTGGACCCTACCTTTTTTATATCCTCAAGGAAAAAAATATTATATATCGTCAAGAAAAAAACGATTGTCATTAAAGATATAAAAATATACAGTGGGGAAAAAAGTATTTAGTCAGCCACCAATTGTGCAAGTTCTCCCACTTAAAAAGATGAGAGGCCTGTAATTTTCATCATAGGTACACGTCAACTATGACAGACAAATTGAGATTTTTTTTCTCCAGAAAATCACATTGTAGGATTTTTTTATGAATCTATTTGCAAATTATGGTGGAAAATAAGTATTTGGTCACCTACAAACAAGCATGATTTCTGGCTCTCACAGACCTGTAACTTCTTCTTTAAGAGGCTCCTCTGTCCTCCACTCGTTACCTGTATTAATGGCACCTGTTTGAACTTGTTATCAGTATAAAAGACACCTGTCCACAACCTCAAACAGTCACACTCCAAACTCCACTATGGCCAAGACCAAAGAGCTGTCAAAGGACACCAGAAACAAAATTGTAGACCTGCACCAGGCTGGGAAGACTGAATCTGCAATAGGTAAGCAGCTTGGTTTGAAGAAATCAACTGTGGGAGCAATTATTAGGAAATGGAAGACATACAAGACCACTGATAATCTCCCTCGATCTGGGGCTCCACGCAAGATCTCACCCCGTGGGGTCAAAATGATCACAAGAACGGTGAGCAAAAATCCCAGAACCACACGGGGGGACCTAGTGAATGACCTGCAGAGAGCTGGGACCAAAGTAACAAAGCCTACCATCAGTAACACACTACGCCGCCAGGGACTCAAACCCTGCAGTGCCAGACGTGTCCCCCTGCTTAAGCCAGTACATGTCCAGGCCCGTCTGAAGTTTGCTAGAGTGCATTTGGATGATCCAGAAGAGGATTGGGAGAATGTCATATGGTCAGATGAAACCAAAATATAACTTTTTGGTAAAAACTCAACTCGTCGTGTTTGGAGGACAAAGAATGCTGAGTTGCATCCAAAGAACACCATACCTACTGTGAAGCATGGGGGTGGAAACATCATGCTTTGGGGCTGTTTTTCTGCAAAGGGACCAGGACGACTGATCCGTGTAAAGGAAAGAATGAATGGGGCCATGTATCGTGAGATTTTGAGTGAAAACCTCCTTCCATCAGCAAGGGCATTGAAGATGAAACGTGGCTGGATCTTTCAGCATGACAATGATCCCAAACACACCGCCCGGGTAATGAAGGAGTGGCTTCGTAAGAAGCATTTCAAGGTCCTGGAGTGGCCTAGCCAGTCTCCAGATCTCAACCCCATAGAAAATCTTTGGAGGGAGTTGAAAGTCCGTGTTGCCCAGCGACAGCCCCAAAACATCACTGCTCTAGAGGAGATCTGCATGGAGGAATGGGCCAAAGTACCAGCAACAGTGTGTGAAAACCTTGTGAAGACTTACAGAAAACGTTTGACCTGTGTCATTGCCAACAAAGGGTATATAATAAAGTATTGAGAAACTTTTGTTATTGACCAAATACTTATTTTCCACCATCATTTGCAAATAAATTCATAAAAGATCCTACAATGTGATTTTCTGGATTTTTTTCTCTCAATTTGTCTGTCATAGTTGACGTGTACCTATGATGAAAATTACAGGCCTCTCTCATCTTTTTATGTGGGAGAACTTGCACAATTGGTGGCTGACTAAATACTTTTTTTCCCCCACTGTGTGTGCTGTCAGGTGTAAATACATTCGTTTTTTCTGTCATTCATCTATCTATCATTTTTCTTTCTGCGCATCACTCCATTCATCCATCTCATTGATTTCCTATTCTGATTATCGAAGTGTTGTTCTTCTTGAAATCCTTGTTGACTTTTTTACCTATGAACTTTGACCCCCCAGCTACAGCTATGACCTGAGCCACTCCCTGCAATACAACCTGACGCTGCTGCAAAGGCCGTGTGACCCGGGCACCGTGGAGGAGGTGCACACACGGAGCAGCAGACAGCAGGACAGCTTCGACATCTTCGAGGACGAGGGCCTGCCCACACAAGGTCAGACAGCTCCTGCCCTCTCACCCTCTCCCTAAACTCCAGTTCCAGTTTTTACAGTTTCAAAACATGTGAATACACTGTATTGAACACATTTGTTTTCATTTGTTATCACAAAAAAAGGAATGGTATGTTACACTTTGTTTCTTGATCTTATAACCGTTAAGTCAGTCAGTGGTCCCAAAAGGAAAAAGATCCTCACAACTCAAGCCAATCATAAAGCCATTAACCGGCTAAATACAAGGTTGATCAGGACATCACTACTAGCCCTAAACTGAAGTCTTTACTCAGCTGATCTATCTCTACTCAATACCGTTTCCATGTTCTAATCTACTGTATCGGTGGTAAACCATCCACTTGGCTTTGATCCTGTCCATGTAAGCTGTTCTGTGGTGTTTTGTGTCCCTCTGTAACGGTTCCGCTGCAGTGTTCCACGGCCTCCAGAGTGAACCGTACGCCAAGTACGTATGGAACGGAAAGCTCCTGGAGCGCGTCAAGGACATGGTGCATCCTGATTGGCTCATGTACATCATCCATGGCTTCTGTGGCCAGTCCAGTATCCTTTTCCTCCTGCATGGTTACGACCTGGAAAGTAGAGTGTTCTATTTAGTAGTAGCGTGAGAGGTGTTGCAAATGTGCATGTGTGCTTGTGTCAGTGACTTGGTGCCTTTGCAATGTTCCAGATGTTGGTATCCACTAGGGCTGACCCCATTTAATCGACTGGTCTATTGTTTGGTCGATAGGCTGTTGGTCGACCGAGAATCTTTTTAGCCGAGCATTCGCACATTTCGTTTTTTTTATGGCACACGAGACACCTGTCTGATTCACACCTGTCTCAGTGGACTAATCCATTGCGGAGACTGCGGGGATGGCATACCACTATCACCATTAGTACATTTTACCGTTAATTCCCATAATTTCTAATCTACAATGGTAAATTGTTAATGCATTCAGTATATTATTATTATTACAGTTTTTTACCGTTCTCATTGTCGGAGTGGACACGTTGTTTGCGGACCGCACAACCTAGGCTAAACTTGTGAGGAACACATTTTGGTTTATTTCACTCCATTTATGAGTTGTCGATTTATTCATTGTCTTTTGTTTGTAGTGCTCCTGTCAATGTTGAGTAAGGACGCGCACCTGATTATACATAGAAGTAGGTCTAGGCCACCTGGCCCGCGTGCAAATGTAGGCCTATAAATGTGCCCATTTAGTATTTCTGATTGTCATAACTTACCACCACTGTGGCGCTTCTCAAAATACATTTTTCTTCACCTCAAACTGCAAGTAAACAAAGTCTGTTTTTACATCCATTGAGAATGACAATAGTTCCTCAACGTAGCCTATTTTAAAAATCATTAGAGCCCTCTTTCAATATCCACGTGAAAGGGGAAAGAAATGTAAGCTCTGATCTGGTGGAAACGTAAAATAGGTCTAACTACTTTTTATCCCATGTGCAAATTGCCTACAGTTATGTCTGTCCGGAGCTCACTGGTGCAGGAAACTCTGAGGGCCCAGAATATTTTATACAATGTTGCAGCTTCAGGCCAGACCCAAGTTAATAGTTGATACAATGCTTCAAATTCCTTGCAGACAGGCCATGCGTAGCCAATGTGATTTATAGGATATTTGTTTTTATCAGGATATTTTTTACCGGCAGGCTGCAATGTTTTTATTTGTTGGCTTTATGGAGGCTATTTTTACATAGTTTGCAATAGAAGTTACTTTTAGAATTTTGATTAACCATATAATGATTTTGAGATACGAAGACTTTATTATAAATGAAATAACTGTTCCATAAAAAATGTACAAATGAAAATCATAACTGGCACAGAGATGGGTAGAAACTCCAAATGGAAAAGGTTGACAACTCCTGGTGTAGCCTATTACCTACCTGCAACTTCAGGAGCTTAATGGCAGAATCTGCGAAGGCCAGCATCAGATGGAGGGTCGGGAACAGGTTTTTTCTTCTTCTGGTTACGCTATCTTGATCTCTGGCTCCCTCTTGAGTCATTTGTGTGTCTTAATTATTTAATCACAGTGTGCTTAAAGCATCAGGCAAGCTCAGTACCCTACATACAGTGCCTTCAGAAAGTAATCGGACCTCTTGACTTTTTCCACATTTTGTTGCGTTACAGCCTTATTCTAAAATGGATTAAAGAAAACATTTGTCTATATATATATATATATATATATATATATATATATATATATAAGGTCCCACATTTGACAGTGCATGTCAGAGGAAAAACCAAGCCATGAGGTCAAAGGAATTGTCCGTAGAGCTCTGAGACAGGATTGTGTCGAGGCACAGATCTGGGGAAGGGTACCAAAACATTTCTGCAGCATTGAAGTCCCTAAGAACACAGTGGCCTCCATCATTCTTAAATGGAAGAAGTTTTGAACCCACCCAGACTCTTCCTAGAGCTGGCCGCCCGGCCAAACCGAGCAATCGGGGGAGAAGGGCCTTGGTCAGGGAGGTGACCAAGAACCCGATGGTCACTCTGACAAAGCTCAAGAGTTCCTCTGTGGAGATTGGAAAACCTTCCAGAAGGACAACCATCTCTGGAGCTCTCCACCAATCAGGCCTTTATGGTAGAGTGGACAGACGGAAGCCACTCCACAGTAAAGGGCACATGACAGCCCGCTTGGTGTTTGCCAAAAGGCACCTAAAGGACTCTCAGACCATGAGAAACAAGGTTCTCTGGTCTGATGAAACCAAGATTGAAGTATTTTGCCTGAATGCCAAGCGTCACGTCTGGAGAAACCTGGCACCATCCCTATGGTGAAGCATGGTGGTGGCAGCATCATGCTGTGGGGATGTTTTACAGCGGCAGGGACTGGGAGACTAGTCAGGATCGAGGGAAAGATGAATGGAGCAAAGTACAGAGAGATCCTTGATGAAAACCTGCTCCAGAGCACTCAGTACCTCATACTGGGGCGAAGGTTCACCTTCCAACAAGACAACGACCCTAAGCACACAGCAAAGACAACACAGGAGTGGCTTCGGAACAAGTCTCTGAATGTCCTTGAATGGCCCAGCCAGAGCCCGGACTTGAACCCGATTGAACATCTCTGGAAAGACCTGAAAATAGCTGTGCGGCAACACTCCCCATCCAACCTGACAGAGCTTGAGAGGATCTGCAGAGAAGAATGGGTTAAACTCTCCAAGTACAGGTGTGCCGAGCTTGTAGCGTCATACCCAAGAAGACTCGAGGCTGTAATCGCTGCCAAAGGTGCTTCAACAAAGTACTGAATAAATGGTCTGAATATTTATGTAAATATAATATTTCTGTTTTTTTCTTTTAAAATAAATGTGCAAATATTCAGAAAAAACTGTTTTTGGTTTGGCCTTATGGGGTATTGTGTGTAGATTGATGAGGGGAAAAAAACAATTTAATCAATTTTAGAATAAGGCTGTAATGTAACAATGTGGAACAAGTAAAGGAGTCTGAATACTTTCCGAATGCACTGTATAGTTGATTTTATTAAAACACATAGTGTGTGTCTATATAGGGAAAAATACAAGTTTCAAAATGTACACGTTTTATAATTTCAACCAAGATTTGTTTTAGTCGGGGACAGCCCTAGTATCCACTTAGTGTGGCATTTTAGTTCTATACCTTTAGAATCCACTGAAGCTGACTTAGTTTACCTGACAATACTTAAATTGTTATTCCCTGAGATTCTGAAGCACCTTTTTATTGTGTCTCCCCAATGATACCTGCAGCCATCTGCCCTCCCTCCCTTCCTACCTCCTACCGCCCTCCACATCTTTCTGTCTGTCTGTCTTTTGACATGTATCCTTTAGAAGACAGAACTTTATTCCTCTTGTGTTCTTTCCCTCGGCTCGCCTCCTTCACTCCCCATCGTCTGTCTGGCATGCTGCTCACTGGAAAGTGAATGCCTACCTCTTGTTCCACAACACATGGAATACCATTTTTGTTTATTTTGTTTGGGGGGCACGTGGAATACCTAATGAGCCAGATGCTCGCCAGTCTGCTAAGCTGCATTAAGCGATTTGTGTTTATATTATGGTCTATGTAAAAATAATAAGATGGAAATTTAAGAAATGCTTATCAGGTATGAAAACAGTGGAGCGTTTGCATGCTTTGCCCATCTGGTATATGAGGTGGAGGAGAAAAAATAGATTAGATTAGCTAGACAGTTTTAGCTAGACAGTTTCTTTCTGTTTAGACTAGGAAGGCACAGCTAGTGTTTCCACTAAGCCAAAGAAAAACACACTTGAAACAAAATGTATGCCTAGATTGGTTATATTGATGCATGGTTTGGTTATATTAATGCATATTTGAGTGTGGACGCTTGGAGCTTGGGTAGAAGTGCTGGAGAATAACTAAATCTGATTAATTGTGTCCCTCATTTTGAGAGCCTAGTTTAACAATCTGTCAATGCAGATCTTATAAGCAGACATTAAGACATTACAACCATTCATTGCACTACTTAGCCGTGAGAGGTTTTAGCTAATGACTCTTCTGCTTGACTGAAGTTGTTCTTGGCTTTTTACACTACCGTTCAAAAGTTTGGGGTCACTTAGAAATGTCCTTGTTTTCCATGAAAACATGCATGAAATGAGTTTGAATAGGAAATATAGCAAAATGCATAGGAAATGTAGTCATTGACAAGGTTAGAAATAATTATTTTTAATATAAATAATAATTGTGTCCTTCAAACTTTGCTTTCGTCAAATAATCCTCCATTTGCAGCTATTACAGCCTTGCAGACCTTTGGCATTCTAGTTGTCAATTTGTTGAGGTAATCTGAAGAGATTTCACCCCATGCTTCCTGAAGCACCTCCCACAAGTTGGATTGGCTTGATGGGCACTTCTTACATACCATACGGTCAAGCTGCTCCCACAACAGCTCAATAGGATTGAGATCCGGTGACTGTGCTGGCCACTCCATTATAGACAGAATACCAGCTGACTGCTTCTTCCCTAAATAGGTCTTGCATAGTTTGGAGTTGTGCTTTGGGTCATTGTCCTGTTGTAGGAGGAAATTGGCTCCAATCAAGTGCCATCCACAGGGTATTGCATGGCATTGCAAAATGGAGTGATAGCCTTCCTTCTTCAAGATCCCTTTTTACCCTGTACAAATCTCCCACTTTACCACCACCAAAGCACCCCCAGACAATCACATTGCCTCCACCAGCATCTTTTCATTTGGTCTGCGTCTCACAAATGTTCTTTGTGATCCGAACACCTCAAACGTCGATTCGTCTGTCCATAACACTTTTTCCCAATCTTCCTCTGTCCGGTGTCTGTGTTCTTTTGCCCATCTTTTATTTTTATTGGCCAGTCTGAGATATGGCTTTTTCTTTGCAACTCTGCCTAGAAGGTCAGCATCCCGGAGTCGCCTCTTCACTGTTGACATTAGACTGGGGTTTTGCGGGTACTATTTAATGAAGCTGCCAGTTGAGGACCTGTGAGGCATCTGTTTCTCAAACTAGACACTCTAATGTATTTGTCCTCTTGCTCAGTTGTGCACCGGGGCCTCCCACTCCTCTTTCTATTCTGGTTAGAGCCAGTTTGCGCTGTTCTGTGAAGGGAGTAGTACACAGATCTTCAGTTTCTTGGCAATTTCTCGCATGGAATAGCCTTAATTTCTCAGAACAAGAATAGACTGACGAGTTTCAGAAGTTCTTTGTTTCTGGCCATTTTGAGCCTGTAATCGAACCCACAATTGCTGATGCTCCAGATACTTAACTAGTCTCAAGAAGGCCAGTTTTATTGCTTTAATCAGCATAACAGTTTTCAGCTGTGCTAACATAATTGTAAAATGGTTTTCTAATGATCAATTAGCCTTTTAAAATGATAAACTTGGATTAGCAAACACAACGTGCCATTGGAACACAGGACTGATGGTTGCTAATAATGGGCCTCTGTACGCCTATGTAGATATTCCATAAAAAATCTGCCGTTTCCAGTTTCCAGCTACAATAGCCATTTACAACATTAACAATGTCTACACTGTATTTCTGATCAATTTGATGTTATTTCAATGGACAAAAAAATTGCTTTTCTTTCGAAAACAAGGACATTTCTAAGTGACCCCAAACTTTTGAACGGTAGTGCATATGCAAGTAATAATGAATCACCTCCTCCACAGTCATGAGATGAATAAGTGAACTCCCCAGTATCCCAGTGATGGAGGGATGAAAGAGGAAATGGATAGTATAAAAAAAAATAGTCCAGTCTGAACTTAAACAACTAAAACTATGTAGAAAGTGTGTGGAAATGATAACGAACCTACATTTTTAAGAATTGTAATCTCTGAACCTATTTTTTACTTCAATCACAGTATTTTTTTATATAGAGCTATTAGCAGCGCTATTTAGCGGATTTGGTTGATTTTTGTGGTCTTAAACCAGTCAGCTTATTAACATTCTTCATGAAGAATATGGGCAAAATGTAATTATTGACAATGGAAAATGGTGGGAATGTTGTTCCCTTATCATGTAATTGCTACATTTACTATCAATATAGCATTCAAAATAGTTTTCCAGAGTGTATTTTTGCAACAAACAAACAAATGTGATGCTAATATTAGGTCGCGACTGAGACAACCTGGTTGTCCCGATACAAAACCCGTTGAGAACCACTGGTTTACATCAAACATTGCTGAATAGCACAAGGGGTAATTGTCTGTGTGTGTCACCAGGTTTGCTGGTTAGATGGGCAGTGGGGGACACATTGCGGACGCTGGGTTTAGACGACATTTCCTGGAAGCCATCCTTCTCTCATGGTTCTTTTCCCAGAGAAACCCAGGCAGAATAATTGATAGAAGGAAACGGGGAGGAGGGGAGGGGTAAAGAAAGGTAGAGACCCAGAGATGGAGGAAGTGATGAAGGAGGTAAAGAGGAAAACGGAGAGGTAAGAGAGGGACTTAGTAAATTAGTGCGAGAGAGCTGGAGGGTAGAGCGACGAGAACAGTCATTTCCCCCCCTATTTTGAATTGGACATATAAAGGTATACACTTTACAATTCTTGACATGAGTACAAATAACAAATTAAAAACAAGCAAACTAACCAAAGGAACACACAAAAAAACATACAATATGAAAATAAAATTACAACAGATCACAACACACTATACCCTCCCCCTGTTGGCCCAAGCTCTGAATCTTGCTCAATAGAGTGTAATTTGTCAAAAAAGGAAATTAAAGGCTGCCATCTCAGAAAAAGGTTATCAGTACATGCACTCAGTGTTTTAAATTTTTTCTAAATTAAGAAAAGACAAGAACTCAGTGGGTGGTTTGGGAGATTTCCAATTAAGTAAAATCTGTTGGCGGGCTACGAGTGAAGCAAATGTTACAACATCTGCTTTACTTTTGGTGAGAATGGACAGCACAGATGGAACTCCAAAAATAGCTATCAAAGTACAAAGCTGCAGGTTAATATCAAGATGTTTAGAGAGAGTAGTTAAAAAGGAAGACCAATACTCCGAGAGCTTAGAGCCTGAGAAAACGTGACTATGATCAGCGGGAGACATTGAGCATCTGTCATGTGTAATTTGTCTCTGGTGAAAAATGAATAGTTTTTTGCCATGATGTAATGAATTTTGTGCAACACTTTGATCTGATTTCAATTTAACCGAGCACAGGAAGATGTGGCATTAACCCTAATAAGGGCCTCCTCCCACCAGTCATCTGTCAGGTCAAGTTCTCTTCGCCAGTCAGTCTTTAGTTTGATGATGGGAGAGGTTTTCAGAGGAGAGCATAACGTCATCATATGAGACCTCCCCAAATCTGCGCGAGCGACAGGATCCCTTCTAATAGCGTGTTAGGAGGTGATTAAGGAAAGGTAGGAAAGTGAGAACTAACAAAATTACGAGCTTGGAAATAGGAGAAAAGATTGAGGCAGATTACATTTAGCTACAAGATCATAAAAACTGGCAAAGGTCCCATCTAAAAAATAAATAGTTGAAACATACCAAACCTCTCTCCCGCCACAAAACAGAAGCCTGGTCAAGATTGGAGGGTAGAAATGGATGATTGTTACAAATAGGGCCTAGAAGAGAAGGGGCAGAAAGTCTAAAATGCTGACAAAATTGTTTCCAGATCTTCAAAGTAGAAAGCACAATAGGATTTGTAGTGTACTCTGAAGGACACATGGATAGTGGGGCACAGATTAGAGCAGAAAGAGGGGTGATTGGAAAGAATGCGCTTCTGTTGAGCACCAGTTGGTACTTGGAGAATTACGCCAGACCAAAATCTTCAGAATATTAGCTGCCCAGTAGTAAAACAGTAATTTGGGAAGGACCAAACCACATCTTGTCTCCCTCTTTGAAGTATCTCTCTATGTATCCTAGGTGTTTTGCCTGCCCAGTCAATTCCAATTCGAGAATTTACTAATTGTTATTTGAAACCAATGACACTTTGCTGTATTATGTTACGTCTGTGTGTGTGTCCCACCTTAACCTCTGTGTGAAGAGCTCCTGATCTACGGTCGTCCGGTTCATGTCACCCTCATCGCCAGGCGCTCCAGTAAATTCGCTGGCACCCGCTTCCTCAAGAGAGGAGCCAACTGCGAGGTACCCGCCCGCCTCATCTCGTCGCCACGACAACAGGGCAAAGTCACCCCCGGTGTTATATAATAGCAGCAGGGCACAAAGGGGGGGAGAGCGACAGGAGTTTTGTTATGTGGTGGGGGTGAGGTTAATGTAACCTCCGTGTCTCTGCATCTCCTTTGTTTGTGTGTGTGTCGTTTGGTGGTAAAGGGGTTCAGCATGCTGTGTTTTTGAGGCCAAATGATGAATCTATTTTTCCCACCGTGCGGCTTAGTTTAGGCCAGGATTGAAATTCGTAAGGTTTGGATGTGTGTGTGTTCTCATTTGGGGATGAGTTTCTGGTTCAGTATATGGTCCACTCCTGTCAATTACAGGTCGAAACTGTTGAACAACGAAAAAAACAACTATGGGGCCATCTAAGAGTGTGTAGATCCATGTGGTTCTCTCTGTATATTATCCCTCACCTGTTTTCATCCGGTCCTCTGCAGGGTGACGTAGCCAATGAGGTGGAGACTGAGCAGATCATCCATGATGCGTCGGTGATGTCATTCACAGCGGGGAGTTACTCTTCGTACGTTCAGGTCAGGGGTTCCGTTCCCCTCTATTGGTCCCAGGACATCTCCACCATGATGCCTAAACCACCTATACGATGTAAGATATTATCATCATTAGATACCATGTACACTGTACAGTATCATTAATATAATGTAGCCTTCTGGTCTCTGTCTGGATATACCCCTATCACCAATATGCCATGAGATACTCTCACATAACTACAGCACTTACAGTAGTAGTAATACTATAAACTATACTCTGGCCATGTTATTATGAAATTGGGATTTTCTTATTGATGAGGGTGAGAGAGATTTTCTCTCCTCTTTTCATCCATCTTTCTTTCTCATTATGACTCCAGCAGGATACATCCTAGGGTGTGAGGATCAGATGGTCTCTGAGATTGAAAAGGTGGAAAGAGACTGCAGATTGTGTGTGGTCGACTGCATTAAATTATGTTATCCTCTCTTACCCCATTTGGCCTACAGTCCATCGTGGATGACATTTACCTAAGAGATTGTGAGCATGTCCCAAGATCTGTGTGTGAGCGCGCGCCCGCATGCATGTGTATATGAAATGATCTTATCCTCTCATCCTCCATTTGGTTTTCAGTCCATCCTAGGATGACATTTACGTGCATAATACAGAGATGTAATGTACAGAGAGCTAGTGTGTCCTCGTGATCTATGTGATGGGGACCTTACCTTGTATGTGGACACCTGCTTGTCGAACATCTCATTCCAAAATCATGGACATTAATATGGAGTTGGTCCCCCCCTTTGCTGCTATAACAGCACTATGCATTGGGGCAGGTAGCGTTCTCCTGGCATCTGCCAAACCCAGATTCGTCCATCGGACTGCCAGATGGTGAAGCGTGATTATCACTCCAGAGAACGCGTTTCCACTGCTCCAGAGTCCAATGGCGGCAAGCTTTACACCACTCCAGCCAATGCTTGGCATTGTGCATGGGGATCTTAGGCATGTGTGCGGCTGTTCGGCCATGGAAACCCATTTCATGAAGCTCCCGACGAACAGTTCTTGTGCTGACGTTGCTTCCAGAGGCAGTTTGGAACTCGGTAGTGAATGTTGCAACCGAGGACAGACCATTTTTATGAGCTACGCACTCGGCGGTCCCGTTCTGTGAGCTTGTGTGGCCTCCCACTTCGCGGCTGAGCCACTGTTGATCCTAGACGTTTCCACTTCACAATAACAGCACTTTTGTGCTGTTATTGGGCAGCTCTAGCAGGGCAGAAATTTGACGAATTGAGTTGTTGGAAAGGTGGCATCCTATGACGGTGCCACGTTGAAAGTCACTGAGCTCTTCAGTAAGGCCATTCTACTGCCAATGTTTGTCTATGGAGATAGCATGACTGTGTGCTCGATTTTATATACCTGTCAGCAACAGGTGTGGCTGAAATAGACCAATCCACTCATTTGAAGGTGTGTCCACATACTTTTGTATATATAGTGTATCTATCACCTTTCTGCTTTACTCCTAGACTCTCTAGTTCTGTTCTCTTTGCCTGGTGCAATCAGAGGTAGTGATGGTGCCGTTGTTTTTCTATTGAAGGACCAGTGCAGTCAAAAATGTGATTTTCCTGTGTTTTATGTACTGTATATCTCCACACTGATGTTGGAATAATACTGTGAAATTATACAAATTATGATAATGCCCTTTTAGTGTAAGAGCTGTTTGAAATTTCAGCCTGTTTTGGTGGGATGGAGTTTTGTGACATCACCAGGTGGTAAATAAGTTAATAGACCAATAAGAAAGAGTTCCAAACCTCTCTGCCAATAAGAGCTATTTTCAGTTTTACACTCCAAAGTCAGACCACTCCCAGACAGTCCTAGCAAAGTTCTTGCTTGAGAAATTGCTCTTTACTAAGAAGCAAATTTTGTTTCTTTTTGACAATTTTAATTGACAACAATCAAAGTAAGGTAATTCATTGTTACACAGAAATTATTTGATATTGAGATACAAATTGATGCATTGGACCTTTTTTAAAAAGCATTGTTTTCTTGCCCAGTTCTTCATATTCCAAGACACTAGTATCTAAAAACTCCAATTAGTTTTCAAAGCTTCAATTTGCGTTTGCTGCCTGCTAGTTCTGACTCTGGTGGGTTTTCCAGTCTTCGTCATTACCTCATTGTAATGTACAGTCTGAGCCTAACTTAACCTCCTTTTTATTCAAATTGGGTATCATGACATTGTGCTCTAATGTCATTCAGCTAATCCATAAAATAAATTCAGCAATATGGCATCAGGCGCGCACACACAGATATAAAAGCCCATAGACACAAAGACGTCCAATTACATGTAAATTCTTGTTCGATAACGACGCCTGTCGGCCTCAAGATTATCAGCCATTAGTGAATCTAGGACAGGTAGATGATCAGGAAGACCCTGGTTGGACGAAGCAGTGAGTCACCACCCAGCCAGCCTGTCCTGACAATAAAAGACTGCGGTTACACAAGCCTCCTGTTGTCTTTGACATGCTTAAGTAGGTGAATAGCTTTGTTGGGAGGGATGAAGAGAAGTCTTTTCATGCTTCCTCGTCATGACGACCCACGGGGGAACGAGGATGGTTACCCAACATCACCATTTACTACTGACCTAAATGGATGGGATGGATCGATTTTAAAGGATATATGGTGAATGGCAAACAAGGGGTAATTATGTGTGTGTGTGGAGGGGGGTCCTAGTTGACTGATCATGAGGGGAAAACATGTTTGACTGACCCAGATTTTCATTTGGTTGGCTGAATTGGCTGTAGGTGTGGGGCTCTGCGTGACCGTCACATGAAGTCATAACACTGTGAAATAATAGAAAAGATGGGTGAAATGATGGCGTGAGAGGCAGAAAGGAAATGGGCTTGCGTGTTAGTTACGGTATAATAATACTTAATGTTTCTAGGTTACCTTTTGGTTGGTCTTATGAAATGCTTATGAATCATTATATCAAACATTATTGCTTACCTTATACAGCCAGTGGCATGGGTCCTTCTAACATCCTAAACCTTAAAGGTTGCTCATCGCTCAGTCAAAATAGAGTTGAGTGAACTAGATGCTAAAGTGACCCTGAAGTGTCTCAGTGGACGAGGCTGACCCCTACACCAATGTACATTACTGTTCAAAAGTTTGGGGTCACTTAGAAATGTCCTTGTTTTTGAAAGAAAAGCAATTTTTTTGTCCATTAAAATAACATCAAATTGATCATAAATACAGTGTAGACATTGTTAATGTTGTCAATGGCTATTGTAACTGGAAACGGCAGATTTTTTTATGGAATATCTACATAGGCGTACAGAGGCCCATTATCAGCAACCATCAGTCCTGTGTTCCAATGACACGTTGTGTTTGCTAATCCAAGTTTATCATTTTATAAGGCTAATTGATCATTAGAAAACCCTTTTGCAATTATGTTAGCACAGCTGAAAACTGTTGTGCTGATTAAAGAAGCAATAAAACTGGCCTTCCTGAGACTAGTTGAGTATCTAGAGCATCAGCAATTGTGGGTTCGATCACAGTCTCAAAATGGCCAGAAACAAATAACTTTCTTCTGAAACTCGTCAGTCTATACTTGTTCTGAGAAATTAAGGCTATTCCATGCGAGAAATTGCCAAGAAACTGAAGATCTCGTACAACGCTGTGTACTACTCCCTTCACAGAACAGCGCAAATTGGCTCTAACCAGAATAGAAAGAGGTGTCATGGATTCTGCCGAGGCTGCTCCTCCTCCTTGCTCGGGCAGGCTTCGGCGTTCGTCGTCCCCGGAGTACTAGCTACTGCCGATCGATGTTTCGTTGTTTGTCTTGTTTTGTCTTGAGTAGTTACACCTGTTGTCTATTATGTTTGATTGTATAGCCTATAATTACCCTTGTCTCACGTTTGGTATTTGTGTGTTATTGTTTCGTGTCTAGTCGGTATCGGCATTTGCTGTATTCCATATTACGTGTATGGTGTTTTTCCCTCCAGGTTCGGAGGTTTTGTTTTTGTGCTTTACATTCAGTAAAGTAAGTCTGCTAGTATCTCTGTGTCCTGCGCTTGACTTCACTCGCCGCATACACATCGCACCTTGACAGAATAACACACCACACCATGGAGTCAGCAGGATCAGCGGTACCAACGGGATCATTGGAGGAGCGCGTAAGCAGCCAAGACGCCATGATCCAGAAACTGGGCACCGCCATGCAGGATGTTATGAACACTTTGAGCCGATGGGAGAGAGGAGGTTTGCCCACACCTCCTCCAACAATACCACCACTCTCAGCCATACCCATCGTTCCATCTCCGGAGTCCAGTGGGATTCGGCTCTCGTTCCCGAGGGCTTATGATGGCACCGCGGCCGGGTGTCAGGGTTTCCTGCTCCAAGTAGAACTCTACCTGGCAACCATTCACCCGGCGCCCTCGGGATACGAGAGCGTTTCCGCCCTCATCTCCTGTCTGTCCGGCAAGGCACTGGAGTGGGCCAATGCCGAATGGAGGGGAATAGACGCCGCTACAGTCAGTTATGCAGAGTTCTCCCGCCGCTTCAGGGCGGTTTTCGATCATCCCCCAGAGGGGAAAGCGGCGGGGGAGCATCTGTTCCACCTCAGACAGGGGAAGAGGAGCGCGCAGGAATTCGCACTGGATTTCCGGACTCTGGCGGCCAACACGGGATGGAATGAGAGGGCCCTCATCGACCACTATAGGTGCAGCCTACGGGAGGACGTTCGCCGAGAGTTGGCCTGCAGGGACACCAACCTAAGCTTCGATCAGCTGGTGGACATGTCGATTCGTCTGGATACCCTGTTGGCTACCCGCGGACGTCCGGAGCTGGGGCCGTCCATTCCATCCCCCAGCACCGCCGAGCCCTATGGAGCTCGGGGGTGCTGGTGCTAGAGAGAGGAGGAGAGAGACCAGGAGAGAGGCCGTCCCCTGCACCAACTGTGGCCGCAGAGGACACACTGTGGTTCGGTGCTGGGGAGGGTCTCCTAGGGATCGAGGCAGCAGGCCACGCACTGATGAGTCATTCCAGGTGAGTAAGCGCCCAACTCACCCAGAGCTCTCTGTTGTCCACATGTGTATCCAAGTTGTGTTTCCCGAGGTTTCTTCTCACTCCCAGCATAAGGCGCTAGTCGATTCAGGCGCAGCTGGGAATTTTATTG